AAGTAAGGGTTTATATAAAAAACAAAAAACGTATCATAACAAAACAATAAACAATCATGTGATCTCGTGTTATGATACGGAATTTTTGTAAAATTATCTTCTAAAAATATTAAGTTTAAAAATTCCGTATACATTCCGCATGATTAATTTTTTCCGTATACATTTCTTAATTCTTATACATTAGTTTTTTAAAATAATGTTCAAAAATGAATTACTTATTAAATATACGGAATTTGTATACGGAATCTATAGAAACGTACATAAAATGTATACAAAACGTATCCTTTCCGTATACATATTTTTTATAGGGAAGCATGAGCAACTAAATTCGTAGTCGAGCATGAGCGATAAATGTACAGACAGATACGAGAAAATAAATCGCAGAAGAGTAATCATATGACAAGCTAACATACAGTATAAGCACAGAAATGATAGGCAAAATGCGGAATTTCTGGAAATGCGTCAGCTTATGGTTTCTACGTTATCAATTCCTACGATAAATAATCAGACAAATGGTTACGAAACATTATGCACTATTTCATTACTCGCAGTAAAATTGAAATCGTTTGTTATTATTCAATCATGGCTTCATCTCAAGTATTCAGGGAACGGGATGTAAAATGTTGCCAGTTACACCATGTGGTTGATTGCATTTGCTATAATTCGAGTGGTTCAAACCAGCCCGAATTATCAGGTAGTGATGCGATAAGAACAGACACGAGATTATTTTATGGTGCATCAACTATGAAAAATGACACAATTATCCCTACCCAGAGGGTACTAGATAGAGAAGTGCGCCCGATTGTCCCGTTCCCTTTTCTAGTCACCATCGCAGGCGTATTGGGGAACACAAAGATTATGCAAAAAAATGTAGATATTATGCTTGAAAACGCAAAAAAAAACATGAAGATCATGGAAGACGCTATTGCAGTCATGAAAGGCACAGGTAGTCAATTTAGAAACATAAATGCACGATTAAAACAGATCGAGTCCACACGAACTAAAAGAAACGTCCTACGTAAATACGGACCCTGGGTTATGCGTTTTAACAACGAAATAGTGAGAAAGATAGGGAGAGAGAAATGGAGGTTAGCCAAGTATGCAATGGATTACCTCGAGAAGGGTGTGACCTTAACGCAAGACGAGAGTAGTAGTATTCTACAGTTAACGGAATTATTGCATAGCATTGGGATGACAGTAGAAGACTACAAGCTATTACTCGAAACAAGAGAGCTAAGGGGTCACTATTTGCATGACCACACGTTTCCCATGGAAAAGGCAAAGGCTGATCTTACTTCGCTCGTAGACGATTTAGCAGTGTATAAGATACCACTAAGTAAAGCCCTCCAAGCGCTGTAAATTTGGAGAAAATGACTGCGTCATCTTAACCGACTGAAATACTGTCGAAGATAGACACTGGTATGTGCGATGCAAGTAAGCACACTCTCAATGATGCTATAATTTTTTGGTATATCAAGAAACCCGTTAGTAACTATGTGTAGAAAATCATATGATGTCGTGTTTCACTGAACAAGCTATTTCAGTTCGAAGGCTTATCCAAGACCCCAGCAACTTTACGATGTGGATTTATCCCTTTTAAAATCCCATTTCCTCGAAAATATGCATCTTACGTCTATATCGTAAGGTGACTTAATATACGATTAACAAACAAATCACATACGAAGAAATAAAAGCCTATAGGTATAAAGAGACTACATTTTTCGTGAAAGTTTCGCATCAGTCTGGGCTGTTCGAAAAACACATATTATTGACAAAGTACCATAAAAGTAGTCGAAGACTCCAAACGTCACAACAAGATTTTGTTCTGCGTTCCTAGTATGGTGGAATTAACCAGACTAATAATATGCTCAGCGAGCTCATTATACGAAGTACTTTGCATGAAGTACGGAAAAAAGAAATAACACAATCCATTGAGGAACTGGAGAAAATGCTCGACTATGTCACATTACTCTATCTTTGGGGAACCAACTATCGCATATAGTGCTATCAATCTAAGCAAGCTGTCAAACGACAAATACCGAGGAGGATACTGTATTGCTATTCGTGTGTCGAATCATATTCTTATTAGTTATTTAGCCCCTGTGGCATTATTTGTGACAACCCGACTCTAAACGTAAGTTCTAACATTTTACATGGGAAGACTCTGAAATGTTATATGTTATTATCTTGATAACTCTAACCTATACAGGCTACTTATGGACCATAAAACCAAAGTAACTGTAATGTACGGTGGTGATCAGTCGGAGACTGCTCGAAGAGCAAAATTATTTGGGCAGAGCCCAGTTCCACCATGACCGTCTTGCCCTAGATTCGTGAAGCGAATCCCTTCGGGATTCCATCCTTTATAATTTCATGAAATGGGCTAAAGCCTCCTCGTTCCTCGAAAAATCACTTCTTCGAAGGTCCTAACAGACTAAAGATTTTTTTTGTACACATTTGTCTATTATTCATCTACGTAATTGAATGACCGTCTTGCCGCTCAACCACGCTGTTGACAGAGGAGGTTCTAGGAACCTAGGTTCATAGGGCAAGACGGTCAGACTAGGACTTCGTCCTAGAAGAAATGTATTCATTAATCAGTTATCGATAACAATCATTTATACGTTATGATTAATAGGCGTGGTTGAGCGGCAAGACGGTCAGTTCATAGTGTGGGAAATGGCCATATTAGACTGTTTTTTATTCATTTTTTTACGTATTTTGTCTCTTTATTTTTCCAGTGGAACTGGGCTCTGCCCAAAAAATTATGCTCACCACTGTATATTATATCTTCCATTCCAAGATTCTGCAAGCAATAGATTGAATATGACTTACTATAAGTAATCAGAGATAAAACACATGAATACTTCTTAAAGACAAATTCCTACTAAAACATCATTGACAACTAATTTTCTACGCAATAGTGCCATACAATGCACATTATGCCGTATTTCGCCGGGACCTTTTCATAAACGTGAAGCGATTTTCTCATTTTTAACGTTTAATGTTGTTTGACTTGTAATTGATGATTTGACTGGAGGTAGTTTATAAGATATGTAACCATTGTTATTTGTTATAATCCAGTAACGTTCGTACTTTGTGCGTTAGTTGCGGCCATTATTTTCGTTGTTGTTTTTGGTAACGGTGAAGGTCCTTCGTGTCTGCTAGTAACTATTATTTTATTCATGCCGATTTGCACCTTTATAATTGTTAACGACTAATGCTATACTGTTTTAGCAGGAGTACATTCCTTCAGCGATTTAGTTATTCTCACGGTATATAAAAAACTCACTTTTGTTAATTGGAAACAAAGCCAGCTCGTGCATCATATTACCATAATCAGTAACAACGAATGTCCATGTTTTAGTTTGAGGGTGTTTTGTTAATGATTTGGTCATAATCCCTCTTTCATGTGAGCATCTGAGAAAGAAATTCTCTTTGTAAACGTTGTTTGAACATGAAATCCGTGAAAACGTTGTACACATGGGAGTACAACCAAAAAAAAAGTAAACGTGGGTTTAACTTTGTTCTAGGCATAATGAGTAAAAACAGACTGATGAAAACCGATGCTTAGATACTTCGTCAGGAGAATAAAAAGTAATTTGCTTCTTATAAATTCGGCATGTTCATAGGCTGTTGACTTAATAACTACCATTAGCCACAAATAGTGGTAAAAGCATTTTACGATTTCCGGGTCTAAAAGTTTTTAAGGTTATCTGGGGTCCATATAATATTCCACATAGTTTCTGCTCTTCCTCCAGACGTCTTTTTTCTAAAAATGCGAAAATCAAGTCCCAGGATTCATTAACTGTTCTTAAATCTTCATTACAAATAATAGTCTTCAACTCGTTCGGCAAATAATGTTTTAGTAAGTTAATACGACCACCTTCACTTATACCCAAGAAGTCGCATAAGGATGCAAATTTATGACGTGGGATTTCTAAATCATCACGAGAATCAAATGACAAAGTAGTAAGATTCTTCTGTGCTTGATCAATATATTTATATATATTTCTTTTCCGTACGAGCAACCAAGCCTCTATGTCATCTGTTGTATTTCTCTGTAACCGACCCGAGTCTTTTTCTTCTTTTTTGCGAATAGCCCGACAAAGCATGCTCCGCATGAATGAAGCACTTTCTTTTTCATTTAATTTTGCCAATATAGTTAGGGCACGAATTTCATCTGACCATGTTTCGAGGTCTTGCGACTCATCATATAAGGGAATATCGCAGAACATTCTGAGATGCCTCTGCAGTATTATATTTCCAATTGTTCTATTAATGATGACGAGCATAATTTCGTATATGATGTAAGGCAATCTGGCAAGTAGTGTTCTGCAAAATCCTAATCAGAGAACACGTTTTTTAGAATATAAGCCAAGAAGAAACAGATCAAGGAGGAAATCCCACAACATTTGTTGCATTTGACCCTTACGCCATAATGTGGAAAATAAAGTTAGACCTATTCGACTGTAATTCTGACAATGCATATCAGGTTGTCTCCAAGGTATTTATTACAACTAGTTATTCATAATTGTTGTTCTCAGAAAATCTGGGTTAAGATTATTCGTTTACCGTAAATGCTGGTATATAGGTTGGTGCAATTTATGTATTATAGAGTGGTTATCTTTAACAGAGTATCTGAACTCTCTAGAACACCGAAAGAGCAGAACGGTCAGTGAACTCTTTCAAGAGCCCGTACGAGAGAGGGATTCTACTTGGACGTCCTTAATAGCAGAAGAGATGAAACGGCAATACCAGCACTTTCACTAAATGAAGTCAACGAAGGAAATTTGCCAAGAAAAATTTGAGTGACGGCCCTCATGGAAATTTATTACCGATCATTTGGATGTGAATGAATTCGGTATCAATAATATCTTAAATAAGTGGTAAATATGTGAATTCTTTGTTATTCGTAATTTTTCTAGATACATAAATGTTAATAGAAATCAACGATAAATGCCAGACATTTGAAGTAATGTGACGCATTATGTTTATGTACTTATTGTTGAACATAAAGAGGGGAAATATAAAAAAAATTATTCTTAACATTTTTTAACTAATTATCGGCTACATTTTTTCTCGTTTGAATAGTTTAACACATATCACGTATAAAATTATTTGCACTAATCGTTACACGGCACAATGATTTAGGTAACCGTTTGTTCTACTATAATAGTGTAATACAACGGGATTGAACCAAATCTTCCCCACATAGGAAGTATTTAACATGTTAAGTAACTGACTGCCACGTAATTATCGTGTTTAATGGTAGCATTGGGAACGAATGATGGGATGCACATGACAATTATATAAAAATGAATTAGTGTGATACCCTACTATACATGTAGGTTACGATACTTACAAAAAAGATGAAGAAGGTATTTTGTATCCCCCCATCTACTACAGAAAACTGGTATTATTCCGACAAAACAATAGGAGAGATTTTGTTTTCTAATGATAAACAAGCTCCAATGTCAACATCAAATATAAAAGTCGGGGACTACATGTTATTTTGGAAATCAGATAGTAATCAATACCATATGCACTTTGGTTCTTGCTTACCCTGTAAAGGCTTAGTAGCGATTTTTAAAGAAAATGATACCATAAGAGAAAATGGCACAGAAATAATACGCCATATATTGAATCTCGTGTCATTCGACAGGAACTTGCTCAGTAAATAAGCATAATCACTGTAGTAACCCGTGGGGTATATAATTGGTCTAGAAAACAAATCCTCGAAATTCTGCTCATTTTTTTGTGAATAATTACTGATACGTTCGGACGAAACTAACGTATATTCTATTGTCGCAGAAATTCTTATACCAATGTTCAGGCTCGCACTGTTTCACTGTTTTTGAGAAGCTATGGCAGGCTAAGTGAATGCCGTTTATTCTGATTAGGACTTGCGTTTACAAATGGAGCGTGTACCTAGACTAATGATACATGTGAGCAAAAGAAACATTATATCATACAAATTGGGCAAAGTAATCTATCTGAAACGTAAACGATTGCAGTAAATTTTCTTGTTTCTTTCGAACCATAATAACACAACAAATTGCAGGGACATGGCACGGGATATACTTGAGCAAAGTAAAAATAAACAGCGTCATCTGTTTGATATCACCCTCTTCACTTCCTTCAGTGTCGACAGGTACTTGTGGTACCGCATCGTTGACTTCGGATAAGGTAATTATGAGCAGCTCTCTGTTTTGCCAATTTAAAATATTGCTGGTCGCAAATGTTTACAGTGGACTATTATGGGAGTTGACCAATGATTCCAAGAAAAGTATAAACGGCATTATTCTTGATATATAGTTATCATAATCTATTTCCTTTGGTCTTACAATAATATTACTTCCTTTGGAAGGTCTAAAGACTAATTTGTTTCTGCTGAATCTGTTACTACGAGATTTAACCGAAAATACGATGCGTATATGACATGTCTTCTCCGTGTGTACGAAAAAATATCAAGACTAAAAACAACTGGCATTATATCGTTATTTAATGATGGGGAGAGATTATGTGTCCTTCCGTATGTATTAACATTTTATAGTACCGTAGTTAAAAATTACTCGAAGAGCAAAATTATTCGAAATGATGTCCATGGAAAATGACTACAATAGTTATTGCATGAGCTACAAAGCTATAAATTACCATCGTGCTAATGAATAGTGACTTATGTAATCTAGTGTGTAATATGTTATGTAGTAGTAATTTAACGTTACCGAAAAGTAGTAACTCATTCATTAAATTACGCAAACAATATGCAGCGGATTCATATGCATTATTTTTCCATCTTACCGAAGAGTAGTACAACAGTATTGAATACATTGATTTACCTTCGCACTGAGAGAGTAACAATAACACAAAAATTGCATATTTTCTGATTTACGGAAAATAAGTAACTAGTGGGACTATGTAAATTTACTTCGTAGGCCCGCCTAGCTGAATCCGCAGATAATTTAATCATCGTTACTAAAGAATGTTAATTCTTGCGGGGTCATGCTGGATATTCTATCTGTTATTTTACATCATTACCGAGGAATAGTAACGAAAATTCCCGCAGAATTACGTATCTAAGTGATAGCGTGCTATTTTTAAGAGTTTTATTTGTTATTTCTAGCACAGATAGTATATCAAAGTGCTCCACATAGTAATGTAGTCATAAATAGTGGCGGAGCTATGAAGCTTTGATCCCTAGATAAAAAAAGTGCCACGTGTTTTCATGGTTAACTGCCCGATTATTGTAAGGAGAAAATGTACCCAGAGGGTACGAAGTAGACTCCCTCCTCCAATGTTACAAAAATGTTAGCCAGTAGAGACAACTTTGATATAGACAACGCTAGCAAATCATTATATAAACAACTACACCATAGGGATGTAAAAAACATCGCTAAAAAATTCCTGCGTTACGTCCATGGGGCAGTAAAGGCTAGGTACAAGTTTATACGCATTATAGTTCTGCCAAGTCGTGCTTTTTTCCGTTTCATCCGGGATAGTGTACAATTATTCATTAATAACCGCACGATTAGAGCAACAAAGGTTGGAGATTTCAGCTGTTCTTTCTTTGGGACTCTTTTATTATAACTATTCTTCGTGCTAAAAAATCATCAATTAAGATGCAGCGATGTTGTGGAACTATCTTATCGAATGTCCAGTGTCGATTTTTACCAAAATTCTGTTTAAGGATTTCTTACTAGTAAATGAAGTTAGTCTTTGGCATAAGACTTTTAACGGCGTTTATATCTTGGGGTGAAATATGACTACAACCCTCTAACGAGACTCGTTTTAATTGCGCACTACTAGGGAAGAGATTTAGTGCATTTTTGGTAATTTGGGTCCCATTCAATGAAATTTCTTGCAATTCCTTTCCTGCCTTTTCAAAAAGTATGCGAAGGCCAGCATCCGTTATACTGCTAGCACTAAAACAGTCTATTTCTCGGATATGTTCACAAAACAAAGTGATACACTCTAGAGATATATTGGTTAACTTTTCACATGAGCCAAGATCCAGATATTTTATCCTTGGATTTGTGGAAACGAGTCTTATTACTGCCTTGTCTGTAATGCACCCATTAACAACCCCAATGCAACAAAGCGGATGAACAGTCATAGAGAAAAATTCCAAGTTATTACAGTGATTGCTAAACATGTTTATGTGTCGATCCGTGATCTTCTCGCCCACTGTGAATACCTGAACTTCTTTAAGTGTTTTACTGTTAGTAGAAATTAATTCCGAAAGGTCAATCCTCCCAATTTCAAAACAGTAGAGAGTGAAGCATTCTAAATTCAGGTAATTATTTTCGATCAACAGTTTAATCAGAGTGTTGCACGAGTTATCCCACCATTCTTCGCCAATGACATCGTCGTATAGTCCACTATCGGGAAATGTCTCGTAATTAACCTCCAATGTCAATTTTTTAACTTTGGATATATACCTGTTTTTTTCGCTAGAAGAAAGAACCGAAATGAGTTCATTTATTTTCACCTCATCATCTTTTGTTTCTACCTCGACTTTGATCTCAGTAGAGATCATTTCATGTATTGCATTGTTATTCACCTTCATTCGGATTATCAATATTAGATGCAAAATACGTATTTTCTTTGTTTAATTAGGAATTATCTGTTTTACTCTCAGAATGCTGTGCATGGACTACTTCATGACTTTGACGAGTGCTAGTCGTCGAAATTTCGGATATTACACATAGCTTCTTATGGTGGATGTAAATAACAGTTAGTGTAGTGTAACACAAGGCAGTATGGATATATTCCCCGAAGAAATAATTCCCAGAAACTGTCTAAAACGGTCACATAAGATCCCCGTTTCGTATTTGCATAACGTTGCCATAGGTGAGTTACTGCTACTTGTAATTGTAAGTATTCACGCATCTTGTTCTGAACTTGTTTCTGGATACTTGTTTTTTGTTTTCTACAGTAGAGGATCCAAAAGCTATGTTACCTGAGTCCGTAATCTTTTGGCATCCCTATTTGTATCCTTTAGAGAAAGTATCTATGAGAATGGTATGACTAGTTATGTTGCAATAGAGAACAGGGAGGAGAATCTCGCCAATGATGTTTACAAAAAAGGTTACTACTACTAGGGCAATCTGCTGGCGTCTTACTACATGAGCTCTCTAGGCGATATTCGTTATTTGGTATGTAGTACACTTTTGTTGTTGTCACAATCCACTCCTAGCAGCAACATCTGCGGCTATAACTTCATAGTCATACGTTCCCGAAAACTCTTTCCCAGTTCTAATTTACTCTCTGCCGAGTCTCTGGTGTATCAGGTGTAACTAATTATCGGTTGTAACTGGACACTAACTGCTAATCACGATAAAAACATGGATTTATTTCACCCCAGAAGAAGTATACGAAAAATAAAGTAGACGAAGTCTGGATTTCTTCGAACAATCCGTGTAAGAATATGTGTATAATAGGCTATTGGTGAATTTTGGTATAGAGTGTGTAAGGGAAGGGTCTTGATTAGGAAATAACCCGGAAAATAGTCCTGTTGCAAGGTGTCCCTTGAAGAGATGACGAATTATTTGTTCGCAAACATTGGGTAACAATGAAATGGTATTGTAGTTATACATTCTGTAAGAGCTTGACTATTCCATAAGTTACAGCCAATGAATGACAAGTTGAGTATATCTATATTGTATTCGTTCTTGTTTTTTATGTTGTTCTGAACCAGTACCTGCCATTTAGCGCACGCAAATAGAAATGGCATGAGTTGTCAGTTCTTTAGTACACAACAAATAAAAATCCAATATGTTCTAGGAGTCGATTTGTTCATAAATCCGTCTCATCAGTATACAATAGCATGTTTTGAACTGCAATGTTTCATCAGAACAGACAACTGCACTCGTCACAATGAATAGTGCTAACAATTTAGTACAAAAAGCAGTAGAGATTATCATAATCGTTACCGAAGAAGAAACTTATGTAGGAAATGACATTATATGATATATATGACATTATATGATAAACATGACATTCCATTATTTGTTATCATCGTTACCAAAATTTCACTTATGTAACACATCGTGCATAATAATAACAACATACTTTGTGATTTACTCATAATCACGTGGGCTATCGATTACGTAATTTCACATGACACTCTGAGCAAATGTGTAGAGTATCACATGTGTTATTGGTTACGTAGTTTCACGTGACACTCTGAACTTACCGTGCCGCTTATTACATAAGGAGTTCTCCTTCGTACCTTTCAGGTAGGAACTACGTAATGGCTGTGGCAAATCGAAGCGACCTGATAAAGAAATATATACAAATTTCGACGACCAAAAGTCATTTAAGTCATGTGATTTTGTTTGATCGTGTGAGTTCTTCCGTCCAAGGAACTTGCGATGTTAATTATTAAACCGTTCCACTGAAATTAGCTACGGTATTACAACAGACATCATAAACTAATTGCCAAAGAATGTCCTACATGGAAACTTGTCCACAGAATTTGTCGTCCAATCTATTCTATGGAGTGGGCCAGAAATATTGCATTAGTTGCCTGAGCAGATGTCACAATCAAATGACTAAGGTCACCGATATAAAAACGTTACCAACATGATCATGATAAGGGTATTGTAGCTATTTTCAAGATGACCATAGGACTCCGTTTTGGACACCAAAGAACGACTATGCACTTTAGTGTAACTGGTGAACCTCACTTCTAAGTAAGTTGCACAAACATGACGTGTGACAATATAGCCGCAATTATTTTGTGTGAAATGGTTTATAATTAGCATAACTACTGTCTCCATTATCAAGACTTACTTCCTATGACAAAGAGAGACACTGGAGTGTGTAACACTTTTTCGCATTTGACCTTCGGCAGTCTCCCTAAATTCTGTACGGTTCTCTGCTTCGGTTCCACCGTTCTACGTTGACCTCTTTAATGCTTACTTCGTTAAAAGTCCTACGGATTAATCTAAACCCTTACAATCGTGTAACAACCAGCGTGTCTTGGATGCTAAAGATTGGTGCAATACCGATAAAATCATTCTGTTTGATGTTCTCGAGGCGCTAGATAAGGAACCTTTGCCAATGTCATTGGTACAGATAGACAATCTACGTAGTACCCAGAGGGTAGTAATTGCATAAGTTTGACTTTCGGTTACCAGAAATATGCTCTATAAAATTTGTACCGTCGATTATTTACCAAGACAATCCACACTGAACGCCTTCGGGTAATGATATTGTTTTTTAGGAAACTACAGTTATTCTCTTAATGGAACTACTGTTATTCTCTTAATGGAACTACTGTTAAAATCCGAATTCATGTGACATGGTTTCTATCTTTAGCCTATACTAGATTCCTTCCAAATACATTTCGGTCATCTATTGGTACCAAAATTTTCACTATGAGGCTCGGGAAGTTCTTAGAAGCAAACAAAAATCTGATTACTACTGATAACAACCGTCAATATAGTTCTAAAGGAAATAAATCAGTCGGAGACTGCTCAGAGGGCAAATCCAAATTTTCAGTTACAACTCCACTATAACCTCGTTCACTTGTTTGCACACTATTTATAAATGATAGTTAAGTGTTAGATACATGATAGAGAACGATGTAGACAAATGGAATCGTAGTTTGAAGAAACATGAAGGGTGAGAAAAATCTAGGACATTAAAAAAGAAACTGAGTCGAAATAACGGAATATAATCACGTACAGTACCAGCTCGCTTAGTTCTAATTTTTATGAGAGACGAAATATCGTATTTATACGGGAACACAAAAACCCCCCTGTTTTTTATTCCGCATAGTCCTCCCTATTTTCTTCGTTCACCATAGCCTCCCCTATTTCTTCGTTCGACATAGTCCCCTATTTCTTCGTTCGACATAGTGCTCCCTGATTCTTCGTTCGACATAGTGCTCCCTGTTTGTTAAAAACCATACTCCCTATACTGTGAGCATACTCTACTTCGTACCCAAAGGTATGTTTTTTGTAATAACAGGTTCTGGTATATGCGAAGGTGCTCTGTCCAATGCCCTATTTCACGGTAGACATAAACGAATATCTTATACCTGGAGGATACGAAGTGGGGTCTCTGCCATCTAAAATGAAGGTAAACGTCTGCCGATTTGCAAATCCTGAATCGTTTTTATTCTCCGTATTTCTACTTCGTACCTGACCGTTTTGCCCTATGAACGTAGGGTTCCTAGAACCTCCTCTGTTAACAGCGTGGTTGAGCAGCAAGACTGTCAGTTCATAGGGAAAATGTCTGAAGGGAACTGCTTCGCAATGTGTTCCTAATGTAGAACTTCGTACACATAGGGTAATTGTCATATTCAGACAAATGTATCGCAGTATAATTCCTACTAGATGCCTTGATAGGCAATTGCGTAAATCTTCGGAACCTACGGTTAATGAATTACGTGTGAGAGGAATTCTCAACACACGGCGAGAACAATTTAGCACTGTTAGTGATCCCTCTTCTGCGTTTCTACAATTTCGTTGGTATCCCCTGGTCTCGTATGCCATATTTTTCCTTCGACGAGCTGTCCTCAATGTGTATTTGCTTTTTGAGGAAGTAGCAGTAAATGAAATAGGCCTCCCAAGGGAATGAAGTACCTTCTTCGAATGGAACACACAATTATCCGAATCAATCCCTCTTTTATTGCATACTGCTAGCATGACAGCAATAAACTTTATTACGGTGTAAACAGTCAGCATCAACTCTGAATTTTCACACGGCTGAAACATTTCCATAGACTCCGTGGTGATAAAGAAAACAGAGGACGCAGGTAGGTCAAAAGATGGTGCAACCAATTGTACGCCATTGTAATCTACTGTGGTTATTTCATCAGAGTCCAAGACGGTAATATTTCCTAACATGTTATGGATTCCATTCTGCTCTGTGTTCGAGACGGGTTGAAATTCACTTAGAGTATGTTCTTTGCGGTCATCCTGTTTTTCAGCCGAGCTAACACTGACAATGTCAATGTCACAAGGGACAACATTGTGGAGCAATTCAGAGTCTTTACTTTGTTCTTCTGTAATAGAGTGCATAGCAGACACAGTTTGTGTAACAAAAGGCTCTTGATTAGTGCTCTTAAGACAGAGAGGTACATGAGCGTTAACATCGTGCTTAGGAGAAAAACATGAAACAAAAAGGTTATTCCTGTCGACAGAAGTGTTAGTTCCAAGAAACTGGCTGTAGGGTGTAATACGTTTATGGTTCTCGAGACTAAGTAAATAAGAACCAGAAATTCCTACCAGCTGAAAGATATAATCTGTAGGACGTGTGATCAAAGAACTAATATGAATAGGAAGCGAATCACAGACTTTTTCTCGGAAATCTGCGCAATAGTAATAACTCGGAAAATAGAATGACGTAGTTTGGATATGAAAGTAATAATACCAGGTCCCATCTCTTTGAACGATTTCATCCATAATTACGAAATCATTTAGGGCAGAAGGGATATTAGCCATATTAGCATAATCAGTGTAATGTGTTCGAAAAATTTTAAGCATCACATCCAGTATAGTACGAAGAATCTCCACAATCTTAGTGCCTGAAAATCTCGTAGTAGAAGATAAACAAACTTCAATAACAGGCGACTGCGGAGCATCAGAAAATACTACTTCCTCGTAGCATCGGTATTCTGTAGGTGTGTTATCAGTCATTTCCCAATATGCCTCAAGGGAGTCAAAGACAATGTATTTGTCTATGTAATGATCAAACACGGTCAACTTTTTCAACTTAGAATAGCCAATATACATTTCTTGCTCATCACTGCAGTAAGTTATGTTTCGTGTTAGCCAAGACTTGTAAATGTCTTTTTCTTCATCCATTGTATGTACTGTATGTTACTTTTCTTCAAATATTTTTTCTTTGCGCAATGAAAATGGGTTTCCTTTCTTTAAAAGATCGAAAAATACTCTAGTGAAAATTTATACCAGCATAGAAGGACAATACGAGAATAGTAAAATCGGGATACTTTGGTGGTGATTACTCAGTCGGAGACTGCTCGAAGAGCAAAATAATAACGGTTATCATTTGTCATGTTCAACGGCATATGCACTAGAGAGTGATGTACAAATGAGACCGTGAATGAACTTATATGTTCGATGCACTTCACTACCTAGTCAATAGCAGCATACATGAATTAGGAAAATTGATAATAGCACTTTAGCCTGTACACTTGTATATATTCTTGATGGTTATTTGTGATCTGCTATGAACCATTCAAGTATTCGATAAACTACATAATCACACAATAACAATTTATTGATAACACCATACATGTGAACGCAATTCGAGGTTGCTATCAATTAACCTACTCGTTCCCATTTAGTAACCATCTGTAAAAAAAGAAAGAAGGTACCATGACAGAACAAGACATTTTAATATTCATTCAAGGTACTATTTATACGGAAACGAAGCAATAATAATTAGGTATCAGTTAGAGAGTCCTTGGCTGAGGGAAGTCCACCGATCAAGGAGACATTTTTTCGTATCACAACATTACTTCACTGTATTTATAGGAATGACCAAGCAATCCATCGCCGGACGGTAAACGACAGAACATCGGAGTTTAGTTCGCTATATCCGTTTATAGCCAGCCTGTCCACCGATTATTTTTGGCATTACAAAAGTACTCATTAGAATCTACCTCGTACACCCTGAGTAGTTTCCGTTCGCATATCTAATGGCAGAGGGCAACACAAACTACCCAGAGCGCTCGATCTGGTGGAACACTCGCTTTGTCATGAATTTACATGTTTGCAGGGGCAATTAAAAGAGATAATCCACGACTTCGTATCGTGTAACATTTGTCTTTGAAACATACCAGATGTGAAACTCATGTGACCGCACTCATCTATCCACGGTGGGTATCATAGTTACAAAGAATCGATAGTACAATTCTGTCGTAGGTAGTCCTTCATAGGAGAGATGCACTGCGAGGACTAAAAGCAATACGAAATGTTCTTAACAGGTTACCAAAATAATCGCATTTTTGTAATGTGAGACAACGATAGAAATAGCACCACGTAGTAAGGCGACAGTCCAGAATTCCTATTGGCAGACATTAGAGGCTCAAGGACTAAATATGCTCAACTTTAATTGCAAGGGAGTATTGTCCTCTTATATTGGTTCTACATTAGAAACTGAGAGTTTGAACGAGATAAATTGCTATACGAGCACCGCAAACAGTCCAGATCAGGGCAAATGACAAGCTTTCACGTAGTCTTCGCTCACCATGGTCTCTTCATTCCTCAAAAAATCATGGTTTGAATACAAGCCTTTATGTGTGAGATTACTCTGCGCTATACTTAAATTGAATTTTATTATACTATAGCGTATAGTGCGACCGATACCTAGGGTTTGCGATTATTCTAACATGAAACAAACTAGTTCGAAAACAAGGACTCAACATATGGTTGAGCTGAGGATTGCTTTAGAAAATATACCCAAGCTCGACAAGTTTTCTCAATCTGATCCACAAGTACTGTTATTCTTAAAAGACAGATACAATAACTGGGAAAGTAAGCCTCATGGTATGACAGAACGAATAAAAAATGAGGCCAACACTAAGTTCTCAACCTCATTTTGTTTAGAATATCGCTTCGAAGAGTTACAGGAAATCATGTTTTTAGTTTTAGACATAGATAACCACCAAAGTCTGGATATAAAATGTCAACAAGAAGTTGGAAAGTTTATTACAGATATTGGATCAATTCTAGGATCCACGCCCAGGGGATTATGAGGGGCCCACTTGTTTGCGAAAAATATCCGAACAAGTATAGAGGCACAATAACTATCGTTGGCCGTGAAATTCTAACAGAAAAGAATAGAAAAATTACTCTAAGAGTCCAAGCTCGAAATTTGGCCCTAAAGAACTGGATTGTTAAACCAGATGTGTTTTTTGAGTTATCCCGTAAAGACGGGGGTAACAAAGTCATAGAAGATATTCTCGTATATAAGAGCGAAAGGAGGAATACTAAAAATGTGTCATGGGATTCATTTGTCTTATTAGAAAGGGATTTTTGGCAAAATGATGGCAAGAACCCGGATGATTATATTCGTTTTGCTTGTTTTCACCATAAACAAAACGGTAAACACAAACTTTTAGGAGAAAGTACTCTCAGGGTTATAGATTTCTTAGAGAATGAAGGGCGCAAACAAAGGTTTCCTTTGGGTGGTTTAAGTGAACTACTAGTGTCGTGCGAATTCGAAAAAACATTTCTCGAATATATTGATGGGGGCCTTGAAGTCCAGCTGAACATAGCAATCGACTTCACTGCTTCAAACAGAGACAAGAATTATGACTTGCATAAAAACGGCCCAGACGAAACGTGTTACGAATACGCCATTAGAGTCGTAGGAAATATTTTAGAGCGCTATGATTCTGACAAACAAATTTCGGTCTATGGGTTTGGCGGCGAATTTAACAACTCAGGATTCGTTTCACATGAATTTGCGCTTACAGGTAATAATGAAAAACTGAAGTCAACGGGATTTCAGAGGTAGTCCGTGTATATAGGAAGACACTAGACGATGTAAATTTACTTGGGCCTACAAAGTTTGACCCGATCATTAAATTAGTCTCAGAAAGACTAGAAAAATCGGTATCCCAAAACCAAAACGTGTATGGAGTCCTTCTTATTATTACTGATGGGCAGGTCACATCCATGACTAACACGATAAAAGCGATCATGGAAGCAAGTGCATAACCTCTCTCGATTGTTATTGTCGGGGTGGGTGATGCGGATTTCGAAAATATGTATACTTTGGCGAATCGTCTCGTAAATCATGACTGGAAAGAAAGAGAACCACGTGACATAGTTCACTTTGTTGAAATGAAAAAATTTGTCGAGTCCGGCATGAATAAGGATCTGCCTAAAGCAGTTTTAGAAGAAATTCCGGATCAAATCTTGGAGTACATGACAAAAAAATATATTAAACCGAGAAAGGCAGAAAAATCGAATACTTTCTATGAAGCTTTCAATGATCAAAGCCCGCCGCCATATAGTGAAAGATAATTTATGATATTATTCACTGAACATTTTGTGTAGCGATGAACTATCCCTTCTAGCACGGGAATGACCCGAAGGGAAAGAATGTACCCTTAATCGGTTATCGATAAAATCTATTCTATGTTATGACAATAGAAACAGTGGAACCCCTCCAGGCATTTCCTTCTATAATTTTCCTCGTTCCTCGAAAAATCAGTCAGAGAGCCCTTAGCTGAGCAAAGCCCACTGCTCAAAGAGCACTTCTTCGAAGGTCCTAATAGACTAGAGATTTTTTTTTGCGACCATTGATCTACTTCGTACCCTCTGGGTATTAATCATAACGTATAAATGATAGTTATCGAAAACCAATTAATGGTTCTAGGACGAAATCCTAGTTACTCCAGTTCTAAAAGCGTAATAATTTTGCTTCGTAGGATTTACCTAGAAAGGTATCATACAGCAAAGTTATGTGGGTTTGTTAATTGCTTGTACTTTTGAGAGACTAATAGTTCCATTTCGCCAAATACGACTTGTCATTGTCCCATCTGTCAATGCCGATTTGTGGCCCTTATTGTAAAAGAATTATTCTTAGTTCCTTTATACGTGGAACGCAAATAAGTCTCAAAATATTAATGTAATATCTGTTGAGACAGACGTCATTTGGTGTAGCATGTCATGTGATACTCTGCTCAATTGTGTAGAGTGTCACATGATATTTAAGCGCAGTCGCTTCACGTAACTTCGGGAACAAATTAAACTGTAAAAATACGAATCCACGTCTCAAGTAACTTCTTCCAGCCAAAGGTTCACATGAACGATTTTTACGATATGATCATCTGAAAATCTAAGTTCCAAGGTCTAATTCATAACACATTAGAAATAACTGGTGTCTACGTAGTAGAACCTTCTATTGTATACGTGTCTTGCTGGGGTAAGAAAATCTCTTAGTTTCTATAATAATATATACAAAACAAGGTCTCAGAAACGAACTTAGTGATCTCATTAGTTTCTAATGCAATGGCCACCTCTGGAACTTCATAAAAATGACGGAGCAATGGAAAATTTTTTAATTTCATTTTCGGATTACATGAGTACCCTACCCAGAGGGTACGAAGTAGAGAGTCTGAGACCTGTGCAATGTTATCGATAACAAATACTTTGTGAGCAAGTGCAGGTAAGAAACAAAGAGTTTGTGTTGAGAGACAAGACGTTTAATATGCCTTCACCACTTAGGCAAGTATCTATCCTATCAAAAATACTCATGTGTACCGTATGCTTATAACTCAGATGAACAAATTCGCATATGTCTTCACACTGATAGCTAAGTTAGTAATCATGGGTTTTCCCGTATTTTTGTACAAGGCAATGGTTGATCACTATTTTCATACATAATGACTAATGCACTCTTTGCGTGAAAACCACTAGTAAACCGATCACATTGCATATCAATAGACTACTTCATTAACTGTAGAACAGTAGTATAACGATGGTCAGGATCTTTGTTACACTCTATTGTTTCCACGGCAGGGATGTTAATGTAAACGATTCTGTTGAGATAGACACCGCACTATTTCCGTTGTAGCAAAGTCGTATGCAATAAAAAGTACACTATTATAAAAAAATTTTTTCATCAGATGCAGAGACTTTCGATAGTTTTAGTTACGTATTTACTCCATTGCTTATATTGTTCGCAATCGGCTTACTTGTATGTTCATTAGAACCATGGGAGACAAGTGTAATGCTATTGAACAGTATCGATAGAACAGAAACTTTTTTCATAAGTTGAGCTACCAGTCCTATCACTAACTTCACGATGTAACCGGGATCGCTCTTGAGAATCGTTCACAAACTAGTCACGTATAACTGTGCCACATGATAATATTTACAGGATAGTTTTATATTCCTGAGTCATATGATGGTAATCAATGATAGTATTATTTTCGAATAATCGCTAAAGAGTTATTTCGTTACTAAAAAAACAAAAAGTACAGCCCAGGTAGTGCTAGAATATGGACACAAATGTAACGAGTTCAACCCTAGGATAAACCTTTAGGGATAAAGATTGTTTCTTCATATGCCCAATTTATTTTTGTCGTGTGTTTTCATCAGAATTGTGAATTTTATTCACAGAATTTCTTCACGTGACTTGTATCGAAATTGTGTTATTTGGGGCCGTCTCTGGAGGGTATTGTGAATGTGTTCCTAATTTTATTCACAGAATTTCCACGAAGTGTAGTACTACTAATTGTGATGCTTGATTTTACGGCTAAATGAGTATTCGTTTCCATCGGAAAATTTCGGGGTAACGCTCGAGAAGTTCATCTTGGCAAGAGTATTTCCACACATACATCGATGGCTTGTGTTGCATGACATTAATCTGGGAGATGGCTAACAGACTAAAAAATTCATGGGATAAGTGAAAGAGGATCCTTTAGTCTTGCACATCCTAGCACTTTGGTAAAAATCGTTAGCGTAGAGTTGTAGATTAGAGGTTACACGTAGTAGTTTATTAGAATACTATTAGATTTTGATTGCTGCCTTCAATATGCGTCGCTAAAAAATGGAACAGTAATTCTGTTTAGTTGAGTTAAAGAATGCAATTGATTAGAAAGCTGATGAAGAAATTATGCGATGCTCTATAAAAAGCTTTCAGTAATGAGCATTATGGGATCTCGTTGCATTTCTTCGTATGATAGATGAGTTCGAAACAAAATGTATAAAATATGGAATGTACATCGATGCTCAAAAGATTGTGTACTGGAGATTTTTTCGTATGTATCACGTTATTGATCTACGGTAATAAATTTTGTGTATGAAAACTAGGCTCTCCTATGTTATACCTGGAATCAACCATATCAGATATACAATCCGTATACTTGGATATCCTACATGAATTTATGACGAAATGAGAAAATTTTCCTGAAGGGCGCTAAAAGTATGTGGTCACTTTGTTTCAGTAAAACTTGCGAAGCTAGTGGTTCATGTGACAAGGTAGTCAAGGTACGCATGCAGACTATTTTCTTCACAGTCTATTCATGCCGTTTTAATCTTCTATGTTCTCTTCTACCTAAGTTATTCAAAGGTCCGCCTCCGCTATCAGTTGGTAACGTTTATTACAATGTAATGTAGAGATGAGTGCATATATTCTGTTATACAAATATTCTGTTACAACGCAGTATGTTCTTGTACGGATTCCAAAGGAATTTTCAGACACTGCGTATTATTATAAGTATCATGTATTGTTATCGATGTTAATAGCAGACACAATGTTGGCGATATTATTAAAAAAACGCAATATCGTCTACCTATTGGAATTCAATGACCAATGGGATCCACGAAATAGACATGTTCAGTTTTCTGCGATTTGTACTAAAAAAGTTTTAAGGCAAATAGTATAGCTTGGTTTCACAAAAATAACGGATTTGCTTGTGCAGGACAGTGGATGTTGAATAATACAATTTACGCAGTAATTAACGAAGAAGGTGGTCAGAGTAGTCAAGTTACAACATTTATCACTTTCTACGTATTTGGTGATGGCTGTAACCTTTCTTATCAGTAATAAAGCGACACTGTCGACCCGATATTTTTAAAGATTAAAGCACATTTCTTCGTACATATGCACAAGCTAACAAATTGTCCGTCGATAGGATAATCTTGCGTGGGCTTTTACGATGTTCTTATCTCTTTTTACATCTTATTCAATGGGAGTGTTTTCGTATTTTTTCTCCTGTTCTACCTCCTACTTTCCTATTTGAAGTAATACACTTTTTTTTAAAATGTTTGCCGATCAGGATCACATGAGCAGTTACAGGAATTCTTCTGAAAAAGAGACGCCCGATAGACACAGGGCGGTTTACCCCCCTAAAACTTCTAGACGAGAGCTATTAGCTGCCCGTATTCATAATAATCAGCAGAGTATTATCGACCCTATTCCTATTTCTGAAACATCAACCGGTTCTCGTCCTAGTACAAAGAATAATGTCCATTCTCGGCGGTACTACGGATTAATTCACATGCCTCTTGTTATGTCTCCGCTACCGGTATGCGACCCTAATGTAACCAAACAACATAGCACCACACATGAATCAATTAAGAATGACTCAGAAACCGTGCACTACACAGTTATTATCAGATCCCCGAATATTCTCAAATTTATGGCCATCACTATGGTGGGTAGTCTTAGCAGTAAAATATAAATGCCTGGAGGGCACTGCGAAGTAATGCGATGTTTTCGAAAGTAGACTTACTACAAAAGTACAAAATGCTCCATCTCTACGAAACTAATGGAGAAATAATAGCACCCGAGACTAACAAGAGCTACATAAAACAAGTTGTTGAGCATGGCAGTAATATTTCGGCCAAATCCACTCTTAGTAGCCCACTGAATGGGTTAAATAAGACACTCCAGAAGATGCGTGAACATGAGCTCACTAGATATACAGATGTCCTAGAATGTGATTCTCAATCTATTCCTACTTTCCATGCGAACGAGGGGTTTAGTGAACGTAAATTATGTGTGTATCAATCATATGAGCGTAGGCGAGATAAGAACAATAACCAAGAATATAACTCAGAAAAGTATACCAGTGGATCGTTACTCGCAGTCAAAAACCTTATCAACGAGTTACTGAGAATCCAGTTGCCGAGCCTGTCTCCTATAAAAACTGTCTTCTATAATAAACATAGTATACTACAGAAGTCAAAGAGAGAGGGCCTCTTAATACAGTGTTACGCAAGGCCACAAATTTATGTTTACAGAAAAGGATAATCTTACAACAGCAAAGGCTTTTGAATCTGTGACAACTGGTCAAGTACATTTCTCTGGTTACAGTAAACAACGTACACGTGTCTTGCTCCAGCATAGAAGTGTTATGGATTCGAAACCGTCAGAAAGAGGGGGTGTTGGCACAAAATATAGGAGGGGTTTTTGTGTTATAGTGAAAGTAGGTTTGGATGTTTACGGGAACAACATTTGCCCATTTGTACTGCTCATTCTTTTCTTTTTTTCTCTGATGTGCTACTTTTCATGGTATAACGTAGTCTATGAAATTCTCTGTAGTCAAGTTTTTGTTTATATCCCAACGTTTTATCATGTTGTCATGCTCCGCCTATTTCTAGTGAAACAGCTAAAGGTGTAAACGTCAGGAGACTATGTAAACATGGCACATACCTAACTACGTACTTAACCACTATTTGATCAATAAATTAGTCTATGGACTTAGGAACACATTGCTTCGCAATGTCCTGAGCGTCTTGCCCTAGTTTTAGACCTTCCTTCAGAAGTGAACTTAGGTTTCTACCTAAAAGGTACTACGTAGAACCTCCTCTGTTAACAGCGCACCCTTTGGGTGGTTCTACTGGTTGAGCGGCAAGACGGTCATTCAATTACGTGGATGAATAATAGACAGAATGTATACAAAAACAAACCTTCATGATTTTTCGAGGAACGAGGCAAATCATGAAGGGCATTTCCTAAAACCTTTAAGAGGAAGTTCTAGAAACCTAGGTTTCTAGGGAAAGTGAAGGCGTTGTGCTAAGAAACAAGGTGAACCGGAAAGAAAAAAAACGGAGAACATGAAGAGAAAGTGAGAAAAAACATGGATAACAGGAAGATAATGGCTGTATGGAAAATAACGAGTACAGTGTACGACATGTGAAGGATTACATGTACAAATAGGGATAGAAATATGAACAATCGGAAACCTCTGAGCTACTTCATTTCCTTCCCAGAACTTGTGAATGAAAAAAGTATTTTTCCACATCTACAGGATTTACTGCGCTGCCTTCATTGGCCAGGAAGTCGTACTCAATGGTCTTATCCTAATATTATGAAAATGATGCAAAAGAGTAAAATAAATACCTACAGACCACCCACGCCCATATTGAAGCGAGGAAGACTTCTCAATATATCGTAATGACCGGTGCTCTCATGGGAGTAAATCCGTTGACCATACTGTATGTAGAAATCTTGAATCTAAAGAACACTAATAGTTATTCACTCGCAGATATGAATTTATTACGCTGTGTTTTTCGCTATTCTTGTCTACTATTATGAATAAAAAATAATTACGATACCGACAACCATCGTAACTTCACACTACCATTCGAGATATGATAGTAGCATAGTACACAATTTATTATCCATCTACAGAAATAAAAGGTAGAGTCTGGGCCAGCCTGAAGACACATCTCATGTAATATACATGCAAAGAAAATTCCGTAATAAGTATGAACCAAATTCTTTTCCGGTCTTATCTAAGGAGTATGTATTAAGCATCACAATGCATGTCCCCATGTATTAATTTTTTGTGGTAGCAGAGAAGGACAGTATCGCATATTTTCTGTTGACAAACGTGATCTTAAGATCCTCAGAGATAAATCAACAAGAGTTAGACTGGATCGGACTAAAGGTCATTCTGATGTTACTCTAGTGGGTCGTACGCCAAAGTACATAATAATGAAGAGGTTTACTCCATGTTCGTTTCGTTATTAACGAAGTGAACGTAGAACAGATAATTAGTAAATTGTATCTAGTCAAAGAGTAGCATATTGAAAAACATGAATTAGGAAAAAACAGGTAACGTGAAGTCGATGTATGTATTTCAAGGCACAAGAAGGCGTGACCGTCCATTGTCCTATGAGGTAGACCTGTTATAACGATAGTCCTCACTAACTTTAAAACACTAATGAGTCACAATGCTAGCATATAGTATTTCACAATTGAATGTGCAATGGGAAAATAACGAAAGTTCCTCTAACTAAGCATTTCGCTGCTGTGAACTGTGAATATAGTGTGGAACTCTGCTGACCGGTGTCTGAGATCAATCCACGTGCAAACTGCGTAACGAATAAATTCGTAAAAAGAGTCTCTAGGTTATCAGTGAACTATCCCGTGATGGATTCTATCTGGGCCACATATGACAGAATAGAATTTCATAGCCATGGTAATGATTACGTTGTGGTTCGAAATGGTTCAGACCTTATTTTATTCAAGGGTGAACCAAGAAGTGTCGCAAAATATAACGTATTAACATATTAGAGTGAGACAGGGATTTCTATTCGAATTCAATTCATAGAGTTCCTTTTTAATAGAATTCTCGTCATTGACGAAGAACCACACACGGACTCTCTTATTAAGTTCCTTTTGCAATTCCATACTAATTTGAAAACATAGGGGACACGTAAAATAACATGGACTCTGGTCAGGCATATTGTCCAATAGAATCATGTGCCGGCAATTTCTGTTATGAACAGCCATAGAAACTCTAAAATAGACAAATAGATAACTAGTGGTTACATATGTAATATTCCTTTGCTACCCGCATTGTAATCCAATAATAACCGCATGCACAGTGTGGACTCTGTATTATAACTAGTGAAAAAATTCAGCATAGCAATATACAGAGCAGTTCAACCAATGCGAGTTTGATGTGATCATTAGGAACGTGCACGATTAAAATAGAATGTTGACCATGGGTGAAAATTTCGAATCCCCTGAAGAACACAAACTACTACGAAGAGCTGAGTTAACTGTTACTGAATTTTCTACCTCGTACAGACTGTCTTATCGCTCAACCATTAGGAGCATAACTCCTAAGACCTCTAACTAAATAAGACCTTCGGTGTTATGATCTACGTAGTACCCTCTGGGTAGATTCCATCCTTCATAATTTTCATGGAATGGGCTATTTCTTCGAAAGGCTACGCCAAGCCCCTCTTCCTCGTTCCTCGAAAAATCACTTCTTCGAAGGTCCTAATGGACTAAAGGTTTTTTTGTATACCTTTCCTAATAATCTTCTACAGTAAATACCACGCAGGTCTTAGGAATTACCTAGAGGATAGTACGAAGTAATGTGTTCCAGAGGAGGTTCTAGAAACCTAGGTTCATAGGCTCGAAGAGAAAATTATTCCCCCTTCGGAAGGTTTCAGTGAAACTAGCTAAAGCTACTGGAATGACGAACGTAGGAAAATTGTCATATTAGACAGTTTTTATGCCTATGAACGTAGGTCCCTAGAACCCCTCCTCCACTTCCGAAGGAAGGTCTAAAGACTAAGGCTCCGCCCAAAAAATTATGCTCACCACTGAAACTCCATTCCTTTGAGATTGTGTGTACTAGACTATTAACAATGATCGCAGAGGTGATGATGCAATCACATTTTTGATCTAGTTACACGTATAGAATTTAACTGAAAACGAAGATGCAGTAGATTACTAAAGTACTATCGTAGGTTGGGACAAGACTCGACTATGGAAAGTTACTGTATAGGCCGAATGCTATTCCATGCAGATTGCACACTAAAGCTGGCTTGTCTGCGTTTTCCAGTACTCGTCCAATAGTCGTGCCTTATAAATAAGTATTTCAATGCTAGCATACCCAATCCAATTCTCCCAAAATGTTGATAAAACCTCACAGTCGCCTGGGAGAATAGCTTTGAGGATGTAATCGCTTATGTCAATAACAGACTGGTGATCGACTTTTTCTACCTGCGAACGAAGAATACGTATCAGAGAGAAAATGTTAGCCCTATATCGAGTAACAATCTTTCGGACTTCGGAAAGGGAGTTAATAACTTTCCTCCATTCCGCTTCCTTATATCGTTCAAACAACAGGGTCCGTATGGCCACAGATAGTTTTTCCGGTAAAAGGGTCCACGACAAGGCCCGCAGAATAAATAACACTCTTGTTCCAGTCTTCTGGAATTTTAGAGCATAGGGACTGCACAAATGCATCGGTCAAAGATGTGATATTTTGTCGACACTTTTCTTCACTGGTGTAATCCTCGGTAACGATATTTCCAAAGTTAAGCCAGGGCCTATGCAGAGTGTCAGCGACCACAATGCCAAATTTCTCAAAAAGGGTAAGGCGTGCCTCTCGCATAGAATTTTCGTATATATAGGTGTACATACGTTTACGAGTTAAGGAGCTCAAAGAATTCTGAGTAAGGCCCTTAATATAGTCCTCCAGATATTTTTTTGCGGCTTTCTGTGAATACTCATCAACTTGTTTTTCGCTAAAATTTGGAGAAGAGGTACCACCAATCTGAGGTTGAAACTGAGGCTTGCCATTCACGAACCGAGCGCACAGCCCCACAACTTGTTTAGTAAGGTAGTAGACTATATCAACGGGCAACCCCGAGCTTTGGCCACGGCGGGGAACTCCATTTGATCGCATTTTCATAGAGAAATCTTCCTCCCATAAATGTCGTAGTCATCAACCTTAGTAATAACATACTGAAAACGGTCCCCAGACTCGGGAATTTCATAGAGAAAGGTTTCACTAGGTAAGTCAGAATCATTTCCTTCGTTTTCGGCAGAAGCGCTAAGGCGGCGAGCTTTCATGCGCTCAATAAATTGTTTTACAGACTTATTGTCCTTGTGTTTTTTGTATGTACTAGTTTGGACAAAACGCTCATGGTCTGTAGGGGAGGTATGCTCTATCGCATCTTTGAGGACGTCCTCCACTATATGCAAAAGAGTTTTTTTCTGTGTAGTAGACTCTGGGACAGAAACGGCTGCCCACATTATGCGGTTGCCTATATCCCTAAAAAGCTCAGATTGCCCTTGTTTTACGATGTCCACCCCCTTGACAAATAACTCCTTGGGGCTGAAGTTAGGGATTTCCACGTGGGCGATGCCAAAGTACTTCTTTTTTGCGAGAAATACCGCAGGGAATAGTACTTCTTCGTATGCCATTTTGAGAAAGGAGGTTTGGTTAGTTTCTTGGATGAACGCATTAATCTCTTTGCACAAAGGGGGCATAATACGCATAGTGACCCTGACCATTTCCGTCCAATACTCTTTCAGAGAAATGCGGCCCTCAGTAAAATCCTTATCGCAATTATCATAGGATTCCTCTGGGCTGACAATGTAGAGGGAGTCAGTGTCGCCATACTTAATGCGGTACTTTTTATCTTTGAGAAACTGGGCCACAGATTTTATGTGTTCTTGTCCTGCCGCAGTGACCCCGCCTGCAAGGAAAAGGAGGAAAAATGGGGAGAGACTGTTTCCAGCTTCACCATAGAATGTATTCATAAACACCTTGCGGGCGGTCTGTTTTGAATTGGTATAAGTATACTGGAAGCAGAGGGACTTGTGCTCGGTGTTTAGTGCGTCCAGTAGAGCCGCTTTATTCAGGGTGCCTTGTTGCTGTATGATGCACGCTATTCATTGTTTAGCAGGGTCTAGGCCAGGGGTGCTATCCGTAGCCAATACATCGCAAGCCTGGATGGGGGTCACATCCCCATTTTCTACTCGGGCGATTATGCTCTCCAGGGACTCCTTCGCCTTTTTGACGAGAAGGAACGTGTCTTTCAATCATTTCCGTTGCGTCAGCAAGTCTAGCAGCACTAGAGGATATAGTCCCATCTTGTCCTGCACATTATTATGGCGAACCGACCATGCACGCACGTCCTTTCCTTCACATGAGAAACTGATCTCGTGTAAGTTCTCGCATCAGCGCAGTGCGGCATATTCTGACGGGGCGTGAATGATCTTTTCGGGGGAGAGATTGTAGGCCATGATGATGCTAGGATACAAAGAAGCAAAATCAAACGCAATAACGGGGCGTTTGTCTTCTATTTCTTTTTCAGGGGGAAGACATATGCTCTGGGAAATTTCACCTTTTTTTACGTGCACTCCTTGGGAGACATGCTTACCAGTATATTGTTGTCATGAGCATACGCCCCTAGCAGATTGCAGACCTTTATCCCTCCTGCATTGAAACAGGAATCGTAGAAAGAGACATACGAGATAATAGCAACTTCACGATAGTCGCCTACTACGTTGTGGTGTAACATCAGCTGCTGGCAACGAAGTGCATCTGTAATACAGTACTCGGCGACTTTTCTCATTTCTTCGATGGGAGTTGTGGCGTTCACGGCCTCTTCATACAATTGCCACATGCGATTAATGGGCATATCTGTTTTACTCGGGAGACCGCAGAGCTTAAGATAGAAACTCAGAGAACTCGAATTCTGTACCTCAGACCGTGGGTATATTTTTTTGAAGCAAGCACGAACGTCCAATAGGATACACCCTGGGATCTTTAGAAAAGAGGACCTAAAAGTCTCTTCTGGGCTTATTTTTATTTCTTCCTCATCGTTGTGTATCTTGCTGACCCGTTCGTCACCAGCATGGTCCATAGTTTGTACCCACAACTCAATGTCATCGTTGGTTTTCTTCCCGTGATAATCCCATCAGAAGACAGTATCCCCCATATTTTTTTTTCCTCTAGGGCGGGATGTCATGTGGTTCCACATCTCGTGTAGTATCTGTAGCTGTTTTGCTCTCTCGACTAGAAATACCCAGTCATAGCACGAGTCGTTGAATCCTAATTGGATATCTGGGGCTAACTCTTCCCAGCACAGTGCAAATGCACGAAGGAGATTTTTTTCGTTGTCGCATATTATGGTTGTCCAATGGTCATCTGCGGGTATCCCTCGCATGGTAGTTATGCATAGTTGTCTCACAGGAGTTGGGTCATCTTTCCAGTGGACAGTGATCCCTATCATAAAGATTCTGTCCTCTGGATAGACCGCAGTAGGTAAATGCCCCCTTCCTCGAGGGGTGTAGGTTTCTATATCCCAAGTGAAAATAAGCGTAGGATCAGTCAGTTCAACCGTATTACTCTCTGGAGCCGCTTTTATACTAGCAAGGGGGGCTTTCAGCAAGTACCTACAACGGGTCAATACTGATTCGCTTTGGATATTGGATAACCCTTTTTTGACATTCTCGTATTTTTCTATAATCACCCACCCGGCAATGGGCAGCTTATTTTCCCGTGCTACCTTTCTGTAGTACCTTGAATCGTCTGAAGCTAACTCCAGTTTAGGGCCTAATTCTTTTCTGAGTTTCTTCAGCGCCTCTGGTGACAGTCTCGAAAATAAACTTGAGGCACGGTGTTTGTTTTGTTTTGCAATCGAGGCTTTGATCCCATTTAGGATAGATTCTATTAACTCTTCTGCATTCCCTTGGGTTTCTAAGGTTTTTTGCATTTCGTGAATCTCTTTTAGCGATAATTCTTTTAGCAGACCCATGGCCCGCATTCTCAGTCCAAGTGTTTTGGTGTACACTCTTATATACGGTTTTGGGCTAGTATGGTAGCCACGAATAGGATGCGCAAAAATTTGTTCTGTCCTGTCTTCTTTCCCATATACTCGTGCTTTGGCCAGGAATAGCTCTATTATTTGGTTTAAGCATCCTACGTGATTTTCTTCATCGTCGGGGACTCTGATGTCAAAATACGGGAGTATCCCCGTCACTTTGACACACACTTTGGTGCCATCTTCTAGGGGGCCATACATTCTTAAGACATACTGTTTTTCATTCTTAGGGCCTTCGTCCCTATCTTCTATGTCAATCGGCATAAAAAGTAAAGGGCTACCGTTACTCAATCCACCTTTACCAGAAGTCAGTTTCTTTTTCAAACGTGCTAGTTCCTTTACCAGTAGTTCACGAGAGGGTATACCTGGGAGTACAGAGCCGTTATAAAATATTTTCTTCATACTCATATATACTTCCCAGCGAAATTCAAATAGTTAATAGCTAGTTTGTACATCTCGTTCAGTTGCAATTGAGGATGTGGGAAACGAAACGCATTAACATATAAGATTCTATTTAAACTACGCACGTACAACTAGGGTGAACTAAATATTTCAATTGAATACCGGTTGAAATCGCTAACTGGTACTAGCCACAGTTTCTTCTCATGTGTTTGCATAGGTAAGGTTATGAACCTAGCCCGTTGAAGTCTATTCGGGATTATTATTATGAAACCATAGAGGCACCGTCAACTATGCTGCGCATATTTAAAAAAATATTCCTCATAAATTGGCACGTGTTGTGCGGGCGACTCATTACCAGGACCATATATGGCATTGTTACTAGCTAACGCACATATCTATTGAACGAACATTGTAAGACAAATAAGTGGATCGCAGATTTAGCGACCACAGAATATACTGCAGAAATTACGGTGGTGATCAGTCTTATGAACAAATTTCCTAAAACCTTTGTAGAGGAAGCTTGCCCAGAGGGTAGGGAGAGGCTCGAAGATCAAAATTATTTAGAATGACGAATGTAGGAAATGTCCATATTAGAGAGTTTTTATGCATTTTTTACGTATTTTGCTTCTTTCTTTTTCCAAAAAAATATGCTCACCACTACACCTGAAGGGTGCTAGAACGTAAGTGGTCGACGGGAATGATCGACGTTACATTTCGTAACGAATTCATGTGCCCTTTGCGCAGTCTCCGACATTTCCTTACCGAATTTTTGGCTGGACTGCGAAGAACAGGGTGTCATTTCAGCCAAATGGATAAAAAATATGATCGATGGCTCTTACGAGGATATCTGTTGACTATGTGTAGGAATATAGGCTAAGCTTACGAAGTAAATGCAATTATCAAAAATTTTGAATCTGTGGAATGCCAACTATCATGAGAAGTGTGTTGACAGAATCAATGAGTTTTATCTCTTCAATTTAATGAACCCACCTGTGGGGCGCTTTGCGCTGATCACCTTGCCGCTCAACTACTCTTTTTTATTCATTAATTTCTACACAGTGTTGGGAAATTTCGAATTCCGTTTTTTACATATCGAAGAAAGAATCACTTAAAAATCAGATCCCTCTACAGTGATGTGATTAATAGTAGTGATAGTGTCTTTAATCCATCAACCCGCTTTTTGTGTTATTGAGAAAATGGATTCCAGGTCATCAACGATGAAGTTTTTGCTTCGCATCAGACCCTATATTGTAAAATTCCAGTAAAATATGTTTATACGTTTCTTCTCCTATACCTCCAGAACTATCATGTTAATCGTGAAAACTAATTATATTCCTGCTGAAGTGACCAACACTCCGTTTTCTTTACGTAAACGAAATTACGCAGTAAGTCATGTGATATGGATACCCGAATGTCGCATCTCATGTGACCTCGACATAGTGTATGGCAAAAATATAGGACACGTTTTATTGATAAATTGTACGTCGAAGACCTTTTTCTGACAGTAATGGAAAGATACTGATCTACGTGAACTAGTGGTCAAGATAGGTTAGAATGAAATTATGTCGCAACTTGCATTTGTCATACTGTAGAAATTGAAATACTTCCCGTTCGCATTTTATAGATGAAATAGCGGAAAATGGTCTACAACAGTATTCGAATCAATATGAAGACGTATTTCTGATTTCTGTTTCCAACCTTGTCTATGTACTGCCTTTATGGATAATACCCCCGTATTCTACGAACACATTATGTCCATTGAGGTAAATGGAGCACACTCTAATCTTTCCATTAAAACAGCAAGACACTTGCGGGTTAGCACTCCTGGAATCACACACATTATATGATAGTCCGCATATTTGCTCCAAAAGTCCTCTACGACACATTTGTTATTTCACTTATTTGTCCATCCTTCTTTCCTCGACAGGGCAATTATATATTCTTTTCGAGGTGATTTGGTTACGACTATATGTTTCTACTTTTTTGTTTTAATGTCCCAAGGGATAATACTTCGCAAACACAAAAATATCCTTGGATAGCGGTGTTTAGTAAATACTTCATAACATATATAATAAGCACCACAAAAATACGATGATATGGAACAGAAATTTCAGTTGTAGTGTTAATTGATAGGGCGGATTGCACATTCTCGAAGTCCTCGCTTGCTGATACATTTTACTAAATATTTTTCTCGTATGTACTTCGTCTATTGTTCAGCAGAGAATTGCAGGAGATTGTGATAGTGTACACTATGACAATTCTTCCCTTCTGCACAAAAATAAAAAATTACTGGTCACTTCGTGGACATAGCCCAGAATTCCAATTCAATTGATTTTTTGTCAATCAATTTTGCCAAGGAAAATTTCGCTGACGTGCCGTGAGGAAAACTTCTGCAGATGCAAGTTAGTCCGTAGACCTTCAAAGAAGTTAGTATCTCATGGTCCGCATGACTTTACCGAGAAACATCATTACTAAATAATTTGGCCAAACGGGCCGGTGGGTACGACAGACACACTATTGCACTTTTGCATGAGACACCTTGTTAGTGACCATCCGCACTGCCGGGCGATTTTTGCTTCTGCCTTCTGCTACGCAGTCTGAAAAAATAAGGACAATATCAGTAGAGGTGATCTAGGTTGGTATATAATTACTGTGTAGAAAAGACAACAGCACACAAACTACGGAATACCATGTGTTTTTAATATACTCATGTCATTGGCGGAATAACGATTACAATTACGAACCAAACCTTTGTTGAATTCCTCTGGTTGACTATTAATCCATTAGTCTGGCACATGGAAACAAATGTTTTCACATTGAAATAACAGGAGAATGTCACAAACAGAAAAGACATTTAATCCCACTAGCGCAGTTTCACACTATTTTCACATCGATTGCTTTTTTCAAGGTAACGGGTGACTCTTTCATTACGTCAATACACCTCCATGGATTATGTTATATTTACGGTGTACGATAATTTTATTTTTGGTAACAATGGGCCAGAGAAAGACAATTCACAAAGAGGAATCAATACAAGTTTGTAAAAATACTGTACCTCGGTACTCAGATGGGACAGTAAGCAATACGTCATTCATAAAATATGGGTCGAACAACTGTCATCTGAACCCTTGTCGCTCAATCACTTCTGTATAACCTAATACATTGCCGTTGATAGCATGGTTGAGCAGAAAGGGACGTATATCATAACTTATTTTTCTCCATTCATCCAAGATAGAAGTGGTACCCATCCTAATCGAGATTAATCTTGAGGACATTCCTCACTACTACTTATTATTCGAACAGACTCTTATAGTAAGCAGTGTACATGTTGGGTGAAAGATTAAGAGGCTTACTTGCTATGAAAATAATTGTAAACACTCGTTGTGCAACATTTTCTCTATCAATCACTAATCAAATTGGTATGATTTTCATGTAGTTCATACTATGGAAACCATATTACATCGACTAACGAACATGCGGAGCTAGGTTATAAATGCGTAAATTGTATAAGCATTAACTTACTCATCTTCAGTGTCATCTTCAGTTTCGTCCGAATCTTCATATTCGCTGTCAATTATATATTCTTCGAGTATCTACGAAATCGATCTATATATTTGGCTCTATTGCACTTTAAACACGATAGCTTTACATTACCCTATACATGTCCTTCAGAATTAATCATCCTATCCAGAGTCCATTACGCCGCATCTCCTGGTTTGTGCACCCATCTCATACGTATTTGACAAAAACAACATAAATTTTTTGATCCCACGCAAGAAAAATCACGTCTAGGCATTCACATCGAACTTTCGATTTTTTAACTGGTCCTGGTCACGATAGCTTTTCAGTTTTTTACTAATCATATCAAAATAGGTTTCCGTCAACTTTTTCATTGAATTTCCATTGTATTTACTAGTCTAAATTCTGGCAGACAATAGAAGATCGACTCTTGTATATGCATTCCCTGTTTTCAACATTGTGCGATTTTCAAAATAACATTAGCAAAAAAATAGATTCTAGGGTTTACCCACGAATTGAATTTTATGTAGCGGATCTGATCATTCATGTGATACTTTTTACATTAAAAAATATCTTGTGATAAAAATAGCTTTTATTTCAATTCCGATGTTCAATCTATGCAAAATGTGTGCTAATGAAAAGAACGAGAAGGAACGTTAGCAACTGCACTAAACAAAAAACTTGTTTACGATGTTCCCCGTTACTCTTCGAAGCCCTCAAAAGAAATTACAGAACCACTCTTCTGTCAATGGAACGAGATTAACGGACTGTTATAGTCGTTGGTTTGTCCCTTCGTTAGCGATAGTCCCTTTGATTGAAATAGGCATTATAAAATAGAAACAGTTTTCAGAATATTATCCGTAATTTAGCAATATTGAATTAATGGTTGAAGAGAATATGCACAATGCCGGGGACAATTCAAACTGTAGAAACTATAGTAGTGACAAACATCGTAAACTCATTCCTAAAATATAGGGGGATGACTAGAGTTGCTCGAAGCCTAAGCCCAAATGAAACCCCACCTACAATGGATAAACATAGAATTTATAGCGATATACGAGCTAACGGTTACGTGCGAATAGATGCACTCCAGAATCAGCCACGGGGAAAACGGGACTGGGCAGTTTTTATAGTACTTGGTGCGAATAGCAGACACGCAAAAACGATAACAGAGCTAAAGAAACTGTTGAAAAGTATTCACAGCGAACCAGCAACGAAAGATAATAGGCTAGACGAAATGATAATCATTGCCCCCGAAGATACCCTACGAAAAACACATTACAGGAGTACTATTCTCCATTATCAGTCCATTAGTGCAAAAGAAACGGACTTGGAGGGGGGGACGTTTTATAATGCATACACGTATGATCCTTTCATAGTGGTAGTCCCTGAAAACTTATATGTTCCAAAGCACCGGATCCTTTCAAAGGAAGAGACGGAAAAAGTAGTGAAACCAATCAAGTTAGCTGACAAGAATGTTTATTCGTACCAAATTGGACAGATTGAGCTTAGAGACCCAGCAATAGTTTGGCTAGGAGGGAGAGTAGGGGAATATGTCGCCATTAAACGCAATTCTTTCACGACGGGACATGCCATAGCGTATAGGAAAATAATAAAGGGGGCGTTCGTTTAGTAATATAACTAGTCCCATGGGTAGCTCCTAATGCCAAAATCCCGAATTTGCTAAGCAATATACATAGACCTGTTTTATCCAGAAAGGTGTAAAACAAAAAGCAGTCTTAGAAACTGTGGCTTTAGTCACATAAGGGTGTCCTACTAGTACTTTAGTCTGTTACAAAAAATTTACGGTGCCACTGCACAGTAATAAAGAATCTGTGGATCAATTTACTTCATACCATTGACGAAATAACATTAAGAGGGGGTATTTGCCCATACAAGAATAATCTGATTCATTATACGATTCTGAGAAGGCTTATAAACAGTAAGTATCTTCCGGCAAATATTTATTTTTTACGTGAATATCTCTTCGATGTTTGAAGGGCACATGTGAAAAATGGTTCGCCAGTTCCATAATGAGCACATTGCAAAGGTCACGGTCATGGTATTACGAAGCAATTTGCTCCTTGGGAAACTTCACAGACCCTTACATATTATTGTGTCATACGTCAGGACATTCTTGTGTCTTTGTTAGGCGGTGGCGTAGATGGTAATATGAATGCACAACTGCGCAATACAAAACGAGTGCAAACCTGGTCTCCTCCAGCGCCTGCGTTTAAGGGCGTACACACTGGTTGGACATATAACTTGTATAGGAAAAAATAGTGACCAATAGTCAACAGAGCCGAATACCCGCCCAGTTGCTCTTTAGGAATGTAGTGTTATAGCTTCAAGGATGTAAGCAGTGTACGGTAGGTCTGATAAATTCAAACAATATATTTTCAAGTAATAGTTAATAGGAAATGGCGAGCCTTAGGCAACCAAATATGCCCACACAAGATAACAGTGCCGACGAACAGGTCCTAGACTTTCCTCCAAATTTTCATCCAGATGACGATTAACGAGTTTTGTTCCAGCGGTGGACAGAGCAACGAATAATAGTATCTGCTGGTCCGGGAGGAGGGAAGACCACCACACTGTGTGCCTTTACTGCAGCTATTTCGACGAAAGTTGACCGTATTTTAGTACTGATGTTTAACAACAACGCAGTAAAGAATTTTAAGACTCGCCTGGGCACATTCAACCCCTATAAAAAATTTTTTTTGGATGTATTCCGATTTTTATCTGGTTTATGTATTCTGAAAATTTTCCAATTTTTATTATCCGATTTTACTACGGAAAGTGATCATTTTTCGGAATGATAATTACAGATTTTACCCGAAATTGCTCAGTAAATTTTATGAATGTAAACGGAATATTATCAGATATTTTACAATATATATTATCTGAAAGTATCCAGAAAAATTTATTGAATATTACAGATTTACGGTTCTTTTTATTCATATTTTCCAGCTATTATCTGAAAGTACTTATTCTATTTTTTAGCTTTCTTACGATTTTTTCAAGTAGTAATTCGGTTATTAGCTGTTTTTTTTCTTTTGTTGAACTTGATTTCGTTATTCTAGTTAAAAACTTTTATTGCTTCTTATATTTATCAAATTATAAATTGTAATATTATAAATATTGTAAACACTAACAAAAATTATAAATATACCAGAATTTCTCGAATCCTCTTGTATTTGTGAACACCAGTTCGTTATTTCAGTAATTGAAGATGCTTCAATAATTGTTTTAGAAGGAGTTGATGTAGATTTCTTAATAACTTCAGGTGAGGACAATTGGACATTAATATCAATACTTGATAATGATTTGGTGTTTGTGAATTTGGACTTGTTTTCTTGAGTTTTGGATAAGGGGGAGTGATACATTTTCGTTGGGAGGTGATCATACCTTTTAATGAGTTTATTTAACTTTTTCTTACGTTCAGTCTCAGCTATAAAATTTATATTAATATCAGGTTAAAATTATACATAATAATAACAAACTAAATATTACCCAATTTCCAACAATATCTACAGCCATTTTTGCAAAATAAAGTCTCCCACTGAAACAGAAAATGTTGGAAATCATTTTTAAACTAAATAATAGTTTAGAAAAGTTAATTAAGTTTAAGAATATGGAAGATATAAACATATAACTTAAATTATTAATAACATTTTGAATTTTACCGAAGTTTCTCTGCAATTTCTGCAATTTACAAATTCTTTGTTAGAACATATTGTTAAATTTATAAAATTGTAAAATTATACTTGCCTGATAAGTCCAATATGTAACATATGATAAATGGAGAAAATCTTCCCAGTCCTCTTTTGGTTGTTCATTTTTTTCCGTTGTTTCCATACATTCTTCTTTTGTAATAGATTTTGTATACTGAATCATGTGGAAACTAACAATTATTATTAATATCACTAATATTATTTTTGAAACATTTTTGTATTTAATTACCGATGTGTTAATAATTCTTGTAGGAGTATTTGAAAGTATAACAGTAGAAATAGGCGTTGGAGTTGGTGCAGGAGGAGTTTGTTGGATAGCAGAACTTTTGGATTCGCTAGTAGCTGAAATAATAAAGTTATACTTGGAGTGGATTCTAAATTGGTTATACCATTTGAATTATTATTGTTATTTTTATCCATGTTATCACCTATAATCTACAAATAAAAGTAATTTTATGTGTAAATTCAGAATATTTAAAAAGCTCATTAAATTTTTATCCTTGAACTACTACTCAAATAATATTACTTATTGCATTGTTATTATTTTATATTTACCGTTAATATGTCAATATTTATTTTTTTGAATATTTTATAAGTATTATTGTAATAGTAATATTAAAAAAAAATGATAAGAATCAAGTTCTAAAAAGCAAAATCATTTATTGCGAGCTTATTTTTTTTTTTGACTTAANATAGCAGAACTTTTGGATTCGCTAGTAGCTGAAATAATAAAGTTATACTTGGAGTGGATTCTAAATTTATTATAATATTTGAATTATTATTGTTATTTTTATCCATGTTATCACCTATAATCTACAAATAAAAGTAATTTTATGTGTAAATTCAGAATATTTAAAAATCTCATTAAAACTTTATCCTTGAACTACTACTCAAATAGTATTATTATTATTTTATATTTACCATTAATATGTCAATATTTATTTTTTTAAATATTTTATAAGTATTATTGTAATAGTAATATTAAAAAAAAAATGATAAGAATTAAGTTCTAAAAAGCAAAAATACGTTTTTATTTATACTTTCATACTTCAATGATCATTTATTGCGAGCTTATTTTTTGACTTAAATTATAACGCGTTTTTTATACTTATATATATGTTTTAAACGCGTCCACTTACCTTTTTAATAGTTACTATGTAATTTAACTAATTTATTAAGTGATCTACATGAAATTGCTTTTCCGGAGTATATTCAATTTAAATATAAAACTGGATTATTTTCGGAATATTTCTAGAAATATTCAGTTATGTTAAATTCCTAAAATTTAACTAAAACAACATTCGCAACATAATCGGAATATTTTCAGTAATATTCGGGACATTTCAAAATATTCGGAAAAAAATCGGAGTGTGCCGAATAAAAATTTTTTATAGGGAACGTGGCACATGGCGACCACAGAGACTTGTCCCACCGCAAAGGATTGTTCGTAGTAACTTTTGATAAATACGCCTTCTGGTCACGAGAACAAAAAAATCTCCGGAACAATCACCGTATCGCAATGGAAACCGCAATTAGGGAAAAGGCATGCAATTCTGACATGTGGGACTGGGTGTTAATAGATGAGGCACAGGATGTTACTATTCTGCACGAGGCCCTTATCAAACAAATCCGGGCGAGGCATTGGATAATTGCCGGAGACCCACGGCAGGAGTTGTACCCAGGAGCCACATGGTTCTCGCATTTGTGGGCGGAGATTGGTCCCCGTGAAAAGATATACTTACGATACAACCATCGTTCCCGAAAAAATATAGTGAAGCTTTTGAACTGGTTCAATGACACATTCTTCCCCGGACTTAACCTTCTGCACCAGATTCCCACTAGGGAGGGGGGTGGAGAGATCCACATAGTAGGAGCCAGCGAAATCCATACAGAGGAGGGCTTTAGTGTTGCAGAACGAATGAGTAATTATTCCCCTGGAGACGCATATGCCATCGGACCAGTGACGATTAAGAAATTCAAAATGCGAGAGGTAATCACTGCTCTTCGAGAAGGACTCCATAGGAAAAATCCGGAAGCCAAAATAGAAATCTTTGATAGAGAAGAGATTCAGTCGAGCACTACTGCCGACATGGATCCTAATGCGTATGTGATAGGTACCTCGTATATGTTCAAAGGAACAGAACGAGAATGTGTGGTAGTACTGCGACCTAATGCCCACTATTATACTGGCGGAATCACCAAGGAATGCCTCCTAAAACTGTTGTATGTCGCTATTTCCCGTGCCAAAAGTGACCTCCTGATCATATTCCAGGGGGAGACGCAACCCTTTCCATTATTTAACACCATCCCGAGAGAAATAGTATGCGGGCGATTTATCCCACCCAGAGTATGGTTGATGAGCGTACCCGTGCAGAGCATATTTGGGGTGAAAGAGGACCCAGCTAGTCTAGGGGCATGGAGCCACCTGTTTACAGTGTCAGAAGAACAAACCAGTGCACCCATAATAGATATTCCTGTTCACAATGACTCTGATTTCGTGGGATGCTTTGTAGAAGCGCTTGTCGCAAAATCCCTCGGCATCCAGTGGAAATCACTGAAAATCTCCCTAAGCACCTCCCGTAGCAGTCTCCAGCACTGTAAACCAGGGATATACCAGTTACGTGCCGGAGAGTACTATGCCGTTCTACAACCATGGATGCAGTGGAACTCACAGCGTATCAGTAAATTTGTATCTTCGTTCAATATTCAGCCCGAATATAACTTTGCTCAGCTGGAATTTAGCATTTCTGCTGGGACACAGTGGACTGTCTCTTCTCGGCTAAAATCGTTTACCCCTTCTGTTTTGCAGCTGGCACAGACTACACAGACTATTCGTGCTATTCTTGGCGCACAAGAACTCGAGTACCAAAAGATTGTCATTATGGAGATAACCCCCACCGTTCTGCACGCAGCGTAGGCAAGGTTACCGGAACCTTAGATTTTTCTGTCGTTAACCACTATGGCCGTGCTCTTCGTTTTATCGAAATGAAGCACGGGTCCCACTTATTTAGCCATCTGAATCAGACTGCTATTTATTCTGCTATGATTGGCAGCCACAACGGGACACTCTTGAATACGAGAGATGGTAGACAGTGGTTCTTACAGGTCTCTCCGTCATCTAATGCTTATGTGAATGACGTTGCTAGGGCTCTCATCGCACTGAAATCCTCTACTGCCGCAATATTGAGCATTCGAAATAATCGTTTAGTCCACCGCCCCAAAAGTCCCGCATATGTTGCAGTAGATGTACTGGTACTACACGACGCTGATAATGAGTTTCCTGTAGAAATCGGAGGCATTGTTTTTGCACCGGGCACCAATAACATTTACTCTGTGTTCCACAAAACATTGGACGGTGTAGTTGAAGACAGGGAAGAGTTTTCTGGGCTACGCATTCTGGACCGTAGTAGGCTCGCTACCTCCTTTACGCAGACGATTACTAGTCTCCATGAATGGATCAAAACCGTTGCACCGTTAGGCACTTTACTTTTCTGGGGCCCAACAAACTACGACTTAATTTGTGTCCACTTGAGTGATTATGAGTGTATTGATATTAAAGAATACTATTTGTACTGGAATGCAAACTCAGGCTCGAAAAAAGGGGAAAAACAAACAGATGATACGTTAATAGAAGCTACATGGAAGGTGCTGGAACCGTTGTTACGAGAAAACAAGAATTCCCTTATTTTTGTCCCCGGACGAGCATATGAACACTCTGCGATGATAGCTACTGTATTCAATAGTATAAGTAACCTAGAGAGCTATTTGTGACCTCATATAAACCTTAGCGATTAGTCTATTGGGACCTTCAAAGAAGTACTCTTCGAGCCATCTCCCTAGAAACTGACCGTCTTGCCCTAGAATACGTTTCTAGTACTTACTTCAAAGGTCTTAGGAAATACCCTATGAACCTAGGTTCCTACCTGAAAGGTACGAAGTAGAACCTCCTCTGTTAACAGCGTGGTTGAGCGGTAAGACGCTCAGGGCATTGCTTCGCATTGTGCTCTTAATATGGTGAACAATTTTTTACTATGCACAAACATTATCAATTATGTAGATGAATAATAGACTAATGTCGACAAAAAAATGGAGTGAAATTAGTCTTCAGACCTTCCTTCGGAAGTGGAGGAGGAGGTTCTACTTCGTACCTTTCAGGTAGGAACCTACGTTCATAGGCCCATAGGGTGCGCTCTTTAAAGGTTTTAAGATATGTGTTACTTCGCAAATTTAGACGCTTTTGGGGTAACTCATACATCTGTTGACATAATTGTTCATGGTGGATTGAATTGCCATGATGGTGTAATTGCTATGGATAAGTTATGAAGTGGAACTTACTAGTAGTCTGCATGCATATAACACTACAAATGTATTAATGGTCCCGATTTGTCATCCATTTTTGTTCGATAAGAATATTCTCACTTACTCTATTATTCAATGACCACATTGTCATTCAATGTCCGTTCCGTATTCTCACTACTTCATTTTTTTAACATATTCCCTAGTTAGCAGTTAAGCCAAATGACATCCATACTTACTAGAAAAGATATCTATTCCAAAATAACAAATGAGTATGCACGCAAATGAGATCGAAAACGAATATCACAAAGTATTAATATATGGTGAATACACCTCGCAATGATTACAATTCCACAAAGATTGCTACTAATCCTCTTTGAATTCGCTGTTTTCGTTTCTTTTTGCTGCTTTGATAGGACGCTTGCTAGTACAATACCATGTGCGACTGAACTCTTTAGAAAAACGAAAACCTACCCATAAAACCAAATGTTTTACTTCTTTGAAGGTCCTACGGACTAATTCGAGAGGTTATAGGAGATCTGCTCCTATGGGTACGAAGTAGAACAGTCCGTATACAAGAAAAGTCCACCGCAACATGAACAAGCCACATTTGATTTGATATTACTACTCTCCGTGAATCCTCACGTACTTCGATTGTATAATTACACATAGAATTGTAGAAATCGTATTAGGTAAAGCTTACAAAGCAGATGCATGAGTGTCTCATCTCCTGGATAAATCTATCCTTTGGGTACGAAGTAGAACTGGGGATCCCTTTGAAAAAGATGGACTGATTAAATAATAATCGTTATCGATAGCAATCAACAATAAAATAATAGACCAATAGTAGACGAAACTCGAAGCTCCTGATAATGATCGTCCTTATCTTACAAACATTTTAAGATATGTATGGAACCTCACTTGCCAGGTGCAAAGCTTTCAAATGTTAATGTTGTTTTTAACTAAATTCTAGCTTCGTAATCTTCAAAATTTGTATGTAAGGTATCTATCTTTCTTACTTCGAGCATCACGTGAATCATTGACATACGTAGTCTCACATGACACTCTTAACATTTGTTCAGAGTGTCACGTGCATTGCATATGATTCCAACTGCGCCATCTTTTACTGTATGAAGTTTATTACTCGTGTATTGCACAATGTTATACTAGATGATATCACACCAAATAAATCATACGACTCTATCATTTCCCGAGGAAACATTTTTTCGAAAAAAGTTTCACAGTCTGTTGACTTTATTCACGGTGTATAGTATAACGGTAAACTTCATACAGCATATTTTGTTCTTTGAACAGTCCCGACTGAAATATTTGTATGACCCGAGACAATGACCACTGTTTACGATAAACAAGAGAATAAATATTATATTAGCAATGGCGAATTAAGTATTGTCACTTGCACTGGAATGAAGTCTACAATGATTATAACACTGTGTACTACCAAAGATCACTTACATGTTCATACAATAAAATTATATCCTGTTACGGTTATGGCCAGTCTACAAAAGCATTTAGGCGTGAAGAACAAAGATTTTCATTGATTTGCGGGCTTAGTATAGACATATGAATGATTGTTTCAACCAATAGTCGACTGCTGTATGTGACCAGTACGATAATACACAAGTTATCTATTGATAAATAATAGACAAAGTCTGGAAGACAATCGGATCGTATACGAAAAAATCCACTTTCTTTATCATTGGGAACTTATCCCTAAGACCACCTATTTTTTGTATGCGCTACCAGTTACTAAAGTAATCAATAACTGTAGACCATTTATGGTAATACTTAATTCAGGTCTACGAAAAAAATCTGGGCTTTCTCAAAGGGAACTTCCTCTGCAAAGGTGTTAGGCAATGTGGTACAGTAATTATGTTTCTTGTGTACATTTCCAAGTAAATGTTCGCCAGGCTTTGTCTACTATTCGTGCACTATAAATACACACTGGTCGGGATACCGAGCCACTGTTATTAGTTTAGTGATAAGAAATATCCCGTGATTGGCTATGCCTGAAGGGAATCCTCCAGGGACTGTACCATCGAGTATCATGTATCGTTACCGTGAAAATTCGCTAGCTGAAGTTCATGACAGGTTCAGCTACAACCTTTCACCGAAATAGAGCGGTTGCGAAATTATAAGCATTAGTTTGTAACCTTTGAAAGTTACCCTTTCTTACCTAACATAGTATACTTAGTTTCACTGACTTTGAAGCAACGCACTCAATGGTAGTTACGGTACAAAATTATAGTTAATGGACATATAAAATCCCTTTCCTGCGGAAGTATTTTGCGACTAATCCGCATTCAAGTATATTACACAATCAATTGTAAATTGTTATGGAGCGCTCTGTGTGTGCATGATAAGTGGTCGGCATTGGTATATCATAGTTTTCGATTGATAAAGAAGATTATGTGCCGAATCAACAAACCACAAAGAGCGAAGTTTCTTATGCTACCATTTAGTCGTCAGAGACGAAAGGGTACAATCTCATCAATAGAGACACTGAAGGGACACGAAGCGTACACAACAGTAGAACTCACTGCATGAACTCTTACTCAGGAATGGGTCCTCCTCGACCCAAGGAAAAAATCTAACTCTCTCGGCATGGTCTGTTTTATGCTCAAGAAAATGCACCTTGCTATTTTACACGGATGAGTCCGTTAGTTTCTCGTACATGCACAGTTTCGGACTTTTCGGGTTTCCCTTGTACATAGTTTTTTATATATTTAAACGCAGGAGACAACAAAAATTCAAGCCACTTATCTGGTCCATCCAGGCTTCTGATCTTTTCTATATCTGCCCAACAGACGTTGTCTACCTCCCCCATCCGATAACATTCACGGACTTTGTTCGTGTGATTGTCATGTAGTTCTTGTCTGGCCAGCTCAGGCTTGGCAATTGCGATAAAGTACTTGTATATGTACCGCACACCCGCATCTACGTGATAGAATACTCTCGGAAAGGAAGACGGAAACAAGAGACGGTACTCTTCTTTGGTAACACCAGTTTCTTCTTGTAACTCCCGTGTGGCACAACAAATGTCACTTTCTTGTTTGTTGAGGGGTCGCCCTTTCGGAATCTCCCAGAGGGGAGAGAAACCAGCACCCTTTATCTGTTGGATGTGTTCCTTTAATTTTTGTCCATTCTCTGGCTGGCCGATGAAATTCGCACGAAACTTTTCCTTCTTCTTAGTGTAAAGGGCGGTATTGTACTGGCTAAGCCACAAATGATGCCAAATGTAGTCAAAGTTCAACGTCCATAATATAATTAGCTCTTCTGTGGACATTTGGTCCACCAGCACTGTCAAAGGTGGTGCCCGAGGGGGGGTCTTTTCGGACTCCCAAAAAGATAAAGTGTAATTTCCATGAACAAAGTCAGCAAAAGCGTATGTGCACCTTTTATGTACTAACAGCACTTCAGGCCGTTTCGTTTTCTCGTTAAATCTACACAGAATAACTCCCACCGAATAACGTGTAGCGTTTGTCTTGTCCTCTCTTTTTCGCATAATTGCAATAATACTTTTGTGACACACTAACGTTTAATTAGAATTCATGGGGTCCATACCAGGATTAGAAATAGTGAAAATAGTCTACTTCGTCCAGGGAGTAGGTCGGTCACGTGATTACGAAACTTTTTCCTTGCCGCCCTTTGATACCAACAAAAAGCTTTTTTGAATACTTTTTTGTGGCACCGCAATGACCCACGTGGTAGCATTATCTTGACTCTTCTTAGTGTCAAAATTATTACACTAATTAGGTCACGATCAGTTGCAGGTAAGAAAAGGAACATTTACCGAATAAGGTGAACAAGAAGTAATGACCTAGGATTTCTGGTTTTATGCATGCCCTATACCGCAAATATAAAAGTAGGGCAACTACACTAATATGTGGGACAAAGCGTTACGATGAAATACGAAAATGTATACAACTGTGATTATTGTATGACCCGATACTGCCACACATAGCACTGCTCGTTGTGTATAGTTTTTATCACTATACGCATGTTATTTCTTAATTCATCAGGAACTTATATATTTTTCCGCTCACTCTATTTTTTGTAAAGCTGCTTAGCCCAAAGTTTGCACTGGCACCTTGTGCGTTTAAAGTAAACCTATCGGTGTTTGGAATAACTGACGGTAAAGAAATTTTTCTAGTATACCGAAGACATAAATATAATGAGCCCTGCGTATACAAAGCAGAAAACTCGCCATGCCAGTGTTCCTGCTGAAAGTGAGAGTGAATGGAGCACCAATGAGAAGCTAACAGGGTACACTATTGTAGAGCCTAAGACATGGCAGTACATTAAATATGGTACGCACGTTAGGTACGTGAAAAATGACGGGAAGTTTTATTCGGGAGGCTTCGTCTTAAAGAATCCATATGACGTTAACCCTAAAGGCAGTCCAGAGAAAAAACAGTTCATGAAACTACAGAATGGATTCAATAACACAGTGCAGGATTATAAACAGTAGATAGTCGCATATGAGGACTTGAAAGAACTCTTTATGAAAGCAGATGCTAGCTTTCTTCTACTCCAGTCTGATATTGAAAGAGTAGTAAGCGTCGTCAATAAGAACAACAAGGCCCTCATTGACTACACAAAAAAAAATGACAAAAAGTGCTCACTGCTGGAAGAAAGAATAATCGAATTAGAGAAATGCTTATCATAACACACGAAATTAGTTCATTGTCTGTGAGACTATTTGTTCAAACCATCTCGGAAGCACCATCACTGTTTGATCTACAACGACAATTTACTAATGAGATACATGGGGCTTCCTTTGCATCGATTTCTATTACCATGAAAGTTATCGCATGTGACCGTTACACATGTTTATTGCTTCATGTTTCTTTCAGTGATCGGCGGAAAAATGTATTATTACTCTCCTAACCTTTGTCTGTGTAAAAATTCTTTTCTGTCTTGTTTAAAACGATATTATTAATCCAGTTGATTCGGAACTTATCTTTTTGTAGTTTGCACTTTGGGCAAGATATTAGTCATCTTGGTTAGCGAATTTACATTAGGGCATTACAACTCGAATAGATTCCCAAAAATAGGATGGAGTTTCAAGATGGCATTCATGAATATACGAGGTGATTATGCATGAGAAACATACGACATTTTTACACCGAACATGTGATATATTTTAATGACTCTTTACACATCGTAATTGTAGTGTTATAACCAGCAAAAAAACCAGTATTGATGCGAAATTCTACGCCATGCGATTTTTATAGCACTACAACTTGTTCAAGTTCTTCAGAACAGGGCGCATTCGAGAAAATAGTGGATGATTATTAATTAGTTGTCATGTAAATACAAATCTAGTGATATTTTAGTACTCGAAAAAATAATGGCACATTTATTCACATGTGGAAGAAGACCTATGCATTCTAAGGTAAAAGAAATAATAGTTCAAAACCTATTATAGTCACTTAGTGAAGGATATTTTTCTGAATTATATTTTTTGTAAAGGCATGTATACTGTCTGTTTAAGAAATATCTCCGTTTAAAGAAAAATCAGTGAGACGTACATTTTCAGGTAGGGAGTGGAGGGTAGGGCAAGACGCTCAAGGTAATGCGAGGTCACTGTGCTCCCAATTTTAGCAATAATTTACATTTAAAAATTGATTTCATTGACAACGCATTAAAATGTCTACTGTTCCTGTTGTTGGTGATCGTAAGATTCTTGACATTGAGAATGTTGAACTTTATAAACAAGTTGATAATGCCTTGAGTGCTCTATTGTACGAATTTGCAAAGGATATCCCGTTATCTCTTACATATCCAGGGGTGGTCGATGGTAAAGTATATATTATTGCTACAGTGGATTTGCCAAACGGAATACCAGTTCATGAAATGCCGGTTGAGTTTAAGGGGTTTCCTGTACTGGTCGATTATAGAGCCATTAGACCATCATCAGGCTTGTAGTGTTTATCAAATCCTTAAGCTGGGAATTAGTATTGGCGATTCTGCCCTTGGGCAATCTCCGATTGAGCTTTGCTCACGAAGTGAATTAATGATACATGTGCCGTATCTAGGTGCATTGGAGATAAAATTAGCTAATTTAAAAAATATATACCTACTGTAAGCCAGAAGTTGGTGAAGTAGGCGACTTAACACGACAATATATTGTATGTACCTGATGTACTGCGTACTTATGATGTTTTTGTTGTTATACAGTTGATAGGTAACACTAAAGATGGTCACCAATCGAGTATAAGAATTTATACGTTGATAGATATGTTATCTTCTATTTTTTTGCTTTTTATGATATTGAATATCGATATTAAAATTGAATTAATGAATCGTCTTACAAACCATTCTAAATTTCTATGGAGAATAATTCAGGCAAGAAAAAATATTTACGTCTTCCTACTGATGTAGAAATGGAGAACATGGGCAGCATAGAAGAACTAATAACGTGGTTAAAAGCAACTGATTTAGGGTTGGGTGACGCAGAGTACAAAATTCTTCGAAACTTTGACAATGGGATACTTCCACATTTTGTGTGGCTAAGTGAAAAAGAATTTCTAGAATTAGATCAGTCCCTAAATAGAGACAGTGTTAAAAAACTGTGTAATGCGTTCGAAGCGATTAGAGCCAACAGTTTAGAAGAATTTTATTTAGGTAGAATGAAAATTACTTCTACGTTAAAAAAATCGATAATACGTTGGATGGAGAATAATGACTCTAAACAGCCGAAGAATGATAAGTTATAAAATTTGCATGCATGCGATGGCTCATTTGCATGCATCTTTAGTAGTTAAAAAGCAAGTGGTTTTAAACTAACTTTCCCTCTCATAACTGCATATTTCCTGCAGAGAGTTATCTCTTTGTCTCATTTTTCAGCCCATATGAGAATTTATCACATTATTATGTCTCTTCTGCAATGAGTTCCAAAGTTTACCGTTCTTTTTTATCCATGTATAGCCGCATACATAACTACACATACTCGAGCGTTTCTTCTTACTTTAATAAACTACTGGTCCACATATACTTTCTTGACTATATATCGTTATGGTTATCATTCTATGCATATTCCTCGTCCTTATTTGCATGACAATTCATACATTTGATAGTAATCATATTATCCTCTTGTATGTTTTTTTTGAAGACATGCTAGTACACAATAACTAGAAGAGGCCACTAGCCCTAATTTGCAGGAATGAAAACTAGTCACACAATTAACTTCCATACGCTCACTTATGTGTAAACAAAAATGAGTAGACTAATGAAACACTCTACACAAGGGAAGCATTATGTAGTGTGGTATTGAGACACAAAAATTTCAGCTCTAAAAACCATCACTATAACGGAGGGTCCTAATTTTTAGACAGTAATGTAGATTCCGTATAATATGGACCACAGAGAACCATAGAGAGGAGAGGCCAAATGTATGGCCTAATAGAAAAAGGAAGGAGACATACATATTGTGGTCCGCAAATACGGAAATTCTAACAAGTCCCTGCCTGAAATGGATTTACGTATGAAGACTATGAGAATTTGACATATAAATTGAGTTGGCATGAGTAGCCCTATGAAAAAAGATTGTGCAATAATCATGCGATAATTGTGCGATAAATTTTGTGCATACAGACATCGTATAAAAAATACAATAAACACTCAATAGCGTACAGAAAACGTGTTGAGGTGATTCATAATAGTTGTGTGTTATAATTGGTAATTGTATTACGTAATAGATCCACACGATAGTCTGATAAAATGCGTATGTAATTAACATTCTCCTATCGAGACTGTTAAGAAGCGTTTTGCATGATAACCGAATCAATCTTTAAGCTTTTTTCGTACTCATTTTTTTTTCACATTAGCCAGTTTGCAACTGATAACAAGATATTTGTTGACAATTAATTTCTCCTCAGCAGTTGCTTTTTTCCACCAATAATCAATCTCGCAGCCGTTATAACATTATTTCCCTTGTTGACTGTTATTCTTCAATAAATTCTTTTCAGTTGTCTCCCAAATACGGTGGTGATCAGTCAGGTACTGCTCGAAGTGCAAAATTATTCTCCCTTCGGGAAGTTTCACTGGAATAACAAAATAGCCAAATTCGACAGTTTTAATGCATTCTCGCCTTTCCTTTTCCAACAAACAATGCTCATTACTGTATATTGCACCCGTAGTCGAGCAGATACGTGGCTTGGCTTTAGCATGGGCATTTTGAAGATCCATTACTGCGGATATTAATGAAGTTGTTCCATGCATAAAGAACAACCGCACCAGGTTCGTTTTTTGCACTATCTCTACTAATATATATAATTTTCATCCACGAATGATTTGTTCATTTGTACCCACCAGTGATGGTACAAATTGCATAGAACACGTTAATAGTAATTCGTGAGCGTACTATGACAGTATGTACACAGTAGGACATATAATAATTTATGATAAGGCAGCACATTTTTGTAGTACAATGTTATCTTATTATCTGTTAAGAAATATAGTAACTGAATAAACCAGTAACGTTTCGCTATTTTACCTTCAACAGTTCCTATAAAGATAATGTAACATAGTATGAGTGGTCCACGCATATGAAATATACGCAATTGCGAACTTTGGTATCTCTACACTGGCAGATAACTATAACTGTCCCGTTTACGTTGGTGATACGGATTATGTCTCCCAAGAAAGAAAGAGAGTGTTTTGTAGCTAACGGGTGTGGAATCGACAAATAGTATGCATTAAGATGATCTTCTTTCATGCAAGTTCGTTCCTCCAGATTCCAAAGGATTCCGAATTTTCTGCACACGGTCAGCAATTTTCGTCAAGTGTTACTTCTCTGATGTGTAGTAAAATAGAATCCTGTTCATCGAAGGTGAGACGTAAAAAGGTTATTTCAATGGGTCGATAAAGCACTAGAGAACGTGGCAGATGAAGGAAAGTGTCTATCTAATTGGCTGTCCACAAAACAAGATCAGGAGAGATCAACATTCCATGGTTTCATGGTTTCATTGTTCTTATTTCTGGGATCTTCGTTCTGTTCTCTGTTTACATGTTAGAGCTTATTTCGAACAACAAAAAAATCTTGTTATCGAATGAAATTGCTATTTATCACTGGTCTACTGGTCATAATTGCATGTGAGTTCCTCAATCGTATTGGTATATTCTGTTTGGAGAGATATTGTTATCTACTAATCCACCCAGTAATATTTATTTTAAGCCCATATCCTGTGTCGCATCTTTAACAAAAAACTGTTACAATATCTTAGTAACCTGATCCTCTCGTGGACTGCACTAATCTTCCATTTGAAAAAATGCATCTTATTTCTGAATATACTGTGAACGAGAAAATTATGACAGAAGCTGATTATTCCATGAATGAAGAGCTTACTTCGTATTATGAAATATTATACAATGATCTATGCTTTATGTTCAACGAAATAATAGCCAACGAAACTTGTACCACGGAATGCGGATGTGGAATAACTAAAGTCGACGGCACTAGTCCGGAGGACTCTATTAATTACTATTCCATAGTATACGATGATACGTGCAATACGGTAGAAGTCGTTGAAACTTGTACCACAAAGTGTGGGTGTGAAGCAACTGAAGATAACATAACTAGCCCAGCTAATTACCTCGTATACTATGAGGTGTTATATGATGATACGTGTAATGAGATAGTGATTAATGAAATCTGTCCTGCAATTTCTGGTTGCTGAAACAAATGAAGCCGATGGAACTGACCCAGGAGACGACTCTCTATATTATGAAGTGTTATACAATGATTTGTGTCACATGTTTGACAAAGAAGAAGATAAGTCCTGTGGCATTCCCCAAGAAGATGATCCCCGTTTCTCTTGTGATGCTTTCAGGAATAACGGAGAGGAGGTCACATGTTATGAAATATTATACGATGATTCGTGCCACATGAATACCGCAAAAAACTGTGATAAATTGTCCACAGCTACTCGTTGCGAGATTAACGAGGAGGCCCATGTTCACGTAGCTAACTATAATAAATCCGTAGATTGTTGTTCCCATGAGACCGAAGACATAGCGGTTTCTTTACCAGAAAAAGCCGATAGAGTTCTTCACTATTCTACTTCGTACTCTCTGGGTAGTTTACTTGATATTGTAGAAAAATGTTGCGCTGTTAATGTTCACAAACCCTTTGCAGAATCCTGGAGAACATCCATTTGGAATGTACTTCAAGATCCTACTGCGTGGCTCCACAAAATAAAATGTCTAGCAGATAATAAGGAGGCATGCCTTAATAAGGTAAGGAATACCTGGAGCGTATCACTTCGCAATATACGTCATACTACGATTAATTCGAAACTACCCACAGGGTACGAAGTAAAGCTTAATCTCTACTATCAGCGATATCAATGGCGTCATCTGCGTCCACGTTTGAAACTGACAGTAATAAAACGTATGTCTCAAACAACACTTCCTATTTTCTATGTAAACTTTATGGAGTACAACACTATAGTAGTAATCACAGTTTTATTCGTTTTTGGATAAACAATACAATGATGACACAATAAGGTAGAATTACCTGATTAGTGTCAATTTCCGTATTTTATTGTAACTGTCTCACAGATGAAGTTTACAATGGTAATTGTGACAACTGAAACTAACGGTAATCCATGTCAAAACAATGGGAGGAATAAAAATAAACTGAACAACGGAGGGAGTACGTTTAACTAAAAAAGGGGGGTTTTTGTGTCACCGTGAAAATAGAGAGCAGCATATGACATGACAAATTAAGGGATTTTACGTGTCCTTCAATATAGTACAAAAGGTGTAACAATTGTGACTTTAGTCAGCGGAGTGTATAACCACAGTGTAGATGATTTCCTCGGTAAAGCAAGAATCTCTTAGGAACTCTTTCGTGACCTACCACCAAAGGCATTCCTAGAGTTGAGTTGTGGACTCTCGGATTAAACACCATTCCGGAGGAACCCCATAGCTATAACTGCCAAAAATGAGAAGGAGCTTTTTCGATTCCATCATTTCTATTAAGAAGCATAACACTCTCGCTGAAACTGTATTACGAATAATGCAGACAATAGATTATCTGCTTTTTGTACCCAGCAATACGGAATAGGTTTTTACGTTTCATACTAAAAATATGTTAGTTATAACTGTAATCGCTACATGTCGGTCGAACTTCAAGTTTTGACCTGCTCGATTCAAAAGCGAGTATCTTACTGATAATCCATGTTTATGCGATGTAACAGTGTCTACTATCACGTTGTACACAAACATGTTAATGTTAGTCGGAATTATTATTCTCTTTGAATGTGTCTCATTACGTTAATCCGAAGTCTCACTTCGAGTTTTAATAAACGTTGTCCGTTTTAACGAATCGTCTCGTGCATTATCATTCGTTGTGTTATTTTTCTGTTAACGAAAAAATAGAGTATATCTCTTATATATAGTGTCGGCTAGTGAAACTGAGCAACTGTAACAGATTTGTAACCGATCCTTCGGATTTCATAAAACATCTCAAGGAATTTCTATGACGTAGATCTTAGTAGACACGCCTTTTCTTGTAGATAAGGTATACAAGAAATTATGATTTCTGAGGAACGAGGAAAATGATAGAAGTGGTGCAGTAACACGTGATATTTCTGAGAGTTACAAGTCTTTACGTGATATTTTAATGCAGGAAAATTGCCACAATGAATAAATATATGTCACAGTCACATGACACTCTACACCTAGGAACTGACCGTGGGCTTTCCCAGCCAAAGGCTCTTGCCGCTCAACCTGACCGTCTTGTCGCTCAACCACGCTTTTAACAGAGGAGGTTCTAGGAACCTAGGTTCATAGGCACTAGGGTGCGCTTATTATTCATAACGTAGAAGTGATTGTTAACGATAATCAATTAATGGGTACACCCCTAAAGGACTTCCTCTTCAAAGGTCTTAGCTAATATGTTCCTTAAAATCCAGTTCAGAGTGTCACATGAATAAACTACGTCATGGTTACATGATACTCCATATTTTTAACCATTCGCAAACAAAATCTTAGAACACTGAATAGCAAAAATATTTACTGCCTACTTCAAAAATATGACAGACACGTACTCATACACCCGATCATTAGAAGGATGGAAAAGTTCTGGGATACAGCCCTATTACAGTATCAGAGTGGAATCCTTAGGTACTCAATGGGGGTTACACAATCGTTCGTAAAAGCTGAACCAGTTTATCTACAAGGGTATTCTATGCAATAATGCAGTGAATATGCATACATACTCGTCTGCCATATTTATCTCCTTTATGTAATAACCACCCTATACATTATGCGTGAGAAAAGATACAGGTACCCCCTTTCGTTTGATGCCTAGACTCTCAAGCTTTTCAGAGAGCATTACAATGGAACACTGTTCTGTTCTTGCAGTAACATGTTTTTAACTCGATTAAACGGAGAAGAGCCCAGATAATAAATATAATCTCATGTACGTTAACAGCCAAGCATTGTGAATATTCTATTGTAACACATACAGTTCACCATGTAATATGATACATCTAGGAATAGTGGAGTCTATGTATTAATGAGTCCCAGGCTAGAAGGTAATGTGGACAAAGCCCAGTTCCACTGGGTATCGCTCTCGTCTTCTTGAATTGCTGCTGACCATACAGTATGTGATCTTCAGCCCTGCGAATCATTCGAGCCGTTTTATGGATTTCTTTGCGTGTTACGGCATTAATATCGGCATGTTCTACTGACAATACCTTTGTATTGGGAATTTTCCGAATCATTTCCTTCAGTACTCTATCGTCAACTCGGTCCCTTATACAACATGTCAAAAATAAACGCATGCTGTACTGAATAACAGGACCCTTTAAGGATTTTTTTGTAGGACGTGGAGACGTGGTCGGGATAAACGAAAAAAGGGTACGACTAAAAGAGTTGGTTAAGGGAGAAATAGCCATTTAGCAGTAGAGAAACAGATGAACGAACAAAGTATCTATTACAGACGCTCTGCGCATGGTTAACGAATTAATACTATAGTATCTTTCTTTTTTGTCCAGTGGCCTGTTCTACCTTCATAATAAAACGATTATTGCGACTATAATACGAATAGGAACGATAGATGACTCACTGATACATGTTTTGAATACCTTTGAAGTTAATGGCCAGCAATTGTTGTGCTATTTATATTCTTGTTCATAACTACGTGTATCATATACTCCGAGTACAAAATGCTCAGCAATGTAACCCTTTACTTCTTCGAAGGTCTCAGGGACTAATTTCCATAAGAGTACGGATAAATATACATTACAGTATATATACTAAGTAACGATAGTTTTTCGTGTATCGTTACCTAAGGTTGCTTGCCGAAACCTAGGGGTTTAGGCAAAATGGCGTTTCGCCGAAAAGCGAAATTCTGCCGAAACTATATTAAAGTTATATTAAAAAACTGGCGAAACTCTGGAGAAAGGCGAAACTGCCGAAACTTATTATAAATGCCGAAACTGCCGAAACTCTGCCGAAACTATAATAAATCTATAGTAAAATTTTGACGAAACTAATCGTAGGATTTTGAAGAGGTTTAGACAAGCAACCTTATCGTTACCAGTAGTTCTGAGACAACATATACATTCTTTGTCACAACAAGTAGATGTGGGCCGCTACAAAAATTTTTCGGATTCGTAAAATACACGTCATCATTATAAGAAATATATGCGTCATTGGCCCATTACGAGTAATTATTGAGTACCATGTGTAGAAAATATAAATCACGAAATTTTGACGACTTTGGGTCGTTGAAAATTACAATTCAGTCCGTTCTGTAATTTCCCTCTGCCTACTACGTAGATTCCATCTCCATAATTTCACTCCATTATTTTCATTCCATTATTTTCCTCGTTCCTCAAAAAATCACTTCTTCGAAGTCCCAATAGACTAAAGCTTTTTTTGAACACCTATGAACAGACCCTCTGGTCGTTGAAATAACAGTTCAGTCCGTTCTCCCACTGTGATGATTCGGGTAAATGCATACAATAAAAAAATCTTCACTTCCCATAAAATCAAATGTTTTACTTCTTCGAAGGTCCTACGGACTAATTCGAGAGGAAGTCCTACCCAGAGGGTAGTTTGGAAGGTCTATTCATAGACTGTTTTGCTTCGTTCCTCAGAAAATCATGAAGGAGCAGGCCTTAGACACTTAGTAAAAAAATATAAACATTTTTTCAGTGTTGAGAATTTCAGAATTAGCTAAGCCCATTTTCTTATACATAAAAGGCGAATCACTTAAGATTGACATGTACGTTATCTCTCCCGAAGGGAGATGCTTTCCACGTCTACGTTATTCTTCTGCAGTCGCTCAAAGTCACGTGACTACAGCGACCTCAGGTCGCCCAAATTTCTTGGCAAATCCTTTCATTTTAACCTGTGTTGCCTACGTTATCTACGTTATCTCTCCCGAAAGGATGGCGCAGTAATTGGTCAGATGACACTCTGACACATTATTTAGAGTGTCACGTGAATGGACACTAAATAGCTTCGCATAAATGTGAACATCGTTACCAAATATATACGAGACCATTACAAAATATATTCGGGCATCGTCAACGCAAGAGACATTTTAGTAGCCCATTATATATACTTCATCCCAGTGGAACATCCCATAGGGAGAATAATTTTGCTCTTCGAGTAATGGGCTTTGCCCCGCCAAGGGCTCTCCGACTGATCACCACAGTATATCGTACACCACAATATTTATTTTGGTAACTGCTTGCACATCCTCAATGTGGATTCAAATCCTAAATATATTGTATTCGTTGGTAACGATCATCATATATGTTCCGTTGTAACACAGAGTTATGTTTAGAAAAATGTTCGCACAATTCCACATGTTACAACGTAATGAATTTTAGACGATAAGCGTATGAATGTAGCACCACACTGTACTTTTGGAAATGGAAGCGCACATTCCTCTTTACATTCCGAATAAATTCTATCCCGTAGTATGCGATTAACTTGGAGGTCTCTTCGACAAATGGAACAGGCTCAATAATTCTGGGCTATGCCCACGAAGTGATTACCAATGAATATGTGTCATCGTTGCCAAAGCTATAACAAGTAATAATAGTAAATAAAGACGCCATAGTTACCAAAAATACATCACAATATAACAATACACACAGTGGTGGCATTATTTTTTAGAAAAGGGAAAGGGAGAAAATACGTGAAAATACAACAAAACTGATGAATATGGCCCTATGCCCACCCAAATAATTTTACTTTCGAGCAGTCTCAGACTGATCACCACTGTATATGCCATGAATATGCCATTAGGTGTCGAAAGTTTGTAGTAAACGGAAATGTTTATGTGCCGACCAA